TATACCCTCCAAAAACATAGACGAAGCATAGAATAAAAATAAATATAATCACGTACAATTAAGTGCACTATATATATATATATATATATATATATATATATAATATATATATATATATATAAGGTTCTTGAACTCCTAAGTGGAGCATAGAGCTTCTATTTTGCGTAGAAATCTTCGTTTCTGATGATGGTAGGCCAGAAAATACGAACAATTCTTCGTAGACATTTATTAACAAAGACCTGCAGTTTGTCTGTAAGGGTTTTTGTCGCTTTCCAGGTTTCACATCCGTAAAGTAGTACAGACATGACATTTGACTGGAATATGCGGATCTTTGTCCTCGTAGTGTAGTCTCCAGACCTCCAAACACGGTTGAGCATGGTGAAAGCTTGTTGCGCTTTTTATATCCTCATACGAATATCGTCTTCTGTACCTCCGCTTTATGTTATGACACTTCCAAGATACGTAAAGTTTTCCACATTTTCAATCTGCATGTTATTAATGGTGAATAGCGTGTTGTTTCTTGCATTTATTCTCATGGATTTGGTTTTACCAATATTGATTTTCAAACCTATTTTATTGGCTTCAGTGGAAAGTGTTTTCAATTGGTCAGCCACATCTTGGAACCTTTGTCCTAACAGGCAGATATCGTCGGCGTATTCTAGATCGCTTAGGCGTGTGGTTAACGTCCATTGCATCCCTCTTGTGTCAAAATCTAGTTTGGAGAGAACATAGTCTAGAGCTATGTTAAAAAGAAACGGAGAAAGCACGCATCCCTGTCTGACTCCAGTAAGTACGTCAAATTCGTCACTGTTGATCCCATTGTGTGTCACGCTGCATTTCGCTTCAGTGTACAGTAACTTTATAATGGAAATTATTTTATGCGGGATGTTTCTTAGCTCTAAAATTTTTCATATCGCATCATGAGATAAGCTGTCAAAAGCACGCTCGAAATCAACAAAAACCATGTATAGAGGTGTGTTCCATTCAACCGATTGTTCCATTATTAGCCTCACAGTATTAACGTGGTCTATGCAGGAGGATTCTGGTCTAAAGCCTACTTTATTAGCTCGAAATTCAACCTTGTTTGTTAATCTTTTAAGTATGATGGTCGTGAAGATTTTATTTATGGCGGTAAGCAAGGTTACTTCTCTCCAATTTTTGCATAGTGTGAGGTTGCCCTTTTTTGGAAGCTTAATAATGATGCCTTTTTTCCAGCCCGCTGGAATGCGGTTTGTTTCCCACACCTCTCGGATTATGGGGAGCAAAAGTTCAGCAGTTAGATGCGGATCAGTTTTAAGTATTTCGGCAGCAATGTTATCGATTCCCGGAGACTTGTTATTTTTCAGAGATTTGATAGCTGTTATTATCTCTGTTTTGGAAGGGGCGTCGCAAGATATACGCAAGTCTATATTCTGTGGATTTTCGACAATTTCATCTGCGTTATCCCTGGGCGTGCCTAGCATCTCCTGAAAATGCTCTTTCCATCTCTCTATTTGGTCATTTGTTGTAGTAAGTAATTCTCCTGTCTTGGATCTTACGACGTTTGAACAGTTGGGCCCACTTTTTGTTAGACGTCTAGTAATTTGGTATAGCTCTCTAGTTCTATTGTGTTGTGCAGCTATTTCGGCTTGTTTTGCCAGTTCTTCAGCCCATCTTCTTTTGTCTCTTCTTGCATTTCTTTTAACTGCTTTATTTATTGTTTCATATTCTTGTTGTCGGTTCGCTCTTTCTTCTACAGTTCTTGCTTGCAAAATATCTTTTTTTTGCTGTTTTCTTTCTTCGATAAGATTCCAAGTTTCATCTGATACTTCTTTTCTATGTGTCTCTTTTTTACCCAGTTTATCTTCAGCTATTTCTGTCAAAACATTTGCCAGATCTTCCCAGCTATTTACTTCCCAGCTTCCACAGATGATGTGTTTTATATAATTACATTTAAATAGTAGTAGGAGTTAAAACACACCATTAAAATATGCCATAAAATAAGTTTTACTATTCTTACCTAAATTTCAGAATGTATTTTGTCCATTATTTTATATTTGTTTTATTCATGTTGAGTGTCAAGCCTTTTATAAATAATCTCAACGACTAGTAAGTTGCACTCACAAATTGTGATATTTTGTAAATATTTACATATTCTTTTTATCTACATTGTAGTGTCTTGAAAAAGGAATAAAACAATTCCGAAAGCTACACAAAAAGTCAACAGAGTGTTTCTTTAACATCCTGGCCAAACTTCTGATTGCAGCCTTAATAAATTGTGCTGTTTGACAGTCATTTCTTATATATATATATATATATATATATATATATATATATATATATATATATATATATATATATATTATATAATATATATATATATATATATATAGTAGAGTCTCGATTATCCGCCCTTCGGTTATCCGCCGTTCCGTTTTATCCGCCGCACCATTTATGCAAAAAAAAATTAATTTTGTATAATTTTGAAAATAATCTGCTACACGCCAATGACTGTACAGGTAGGAATTTGGTGTCAGGCTGTCAGACAAAATAGATTATTTGCCTCCTCGTCCCCAGACCAGTCATAAATACTCTGTTTTTATAACTTTATTACTTTATTTGCTATTTAGTACACTTTCGTCGAATCAACTATTGTTCCTTTCAGTGAGTCATGCGCAGTAAGGTTATTTGTTCGCTTTACCGTTTTGAGGCCCGTACGCTACGAGTAAGAGTTTATTCTTTGCTATCAATCGATCGTGGTTATGGAGAAACAAAAAAGGAAAAAGATTGTCTTATCAATGCAAGACAAACTAAATACATTAAAAAGGCTTGATAAAGGGGAAACACTGCAGAGAGTGGCTGATGACTATGGTGTTGGTCGTCGTACTGTTGGAGATTGGAGGAAAAACCGATCAGAATTGCAAAAATGGTGTTCTTCACGAGCCACTGAAATCGACTTGAAAGACAGAAAATCCATGAAAAAAAGTGATTACGAAAAAACTAGCGAGGCTTTGTACATTTGGTTTGTCCACTTTAGGGATAAGGGAGTGCCTATATCCAGGCCTATCTTAAAAGAAAAGGCATTGCACTTCCAAAAGCAATTTCAAGAGGGTGAGGCAGATTTTACAGCAAGTGTCGGCTGGCTAGACCGTTGGAAGAAGCGGTACGGGATTCGTCAGCTGTCTATTTGTGGTGAGAAATTATCATCAAACTTTCAAGGAATGGCTACATTTAAGAAATCGTTTCAAGCATTTATTAAGGCGGAAAATTTAACAAATGATCAAATATTTAATTGCGATGAAACAGGCCTTAATTATAAAATGTTACCCAATAAGAGTCTTGCAGCTAAAAGTGAATCAGCAGCTCCTGGCTATAAACGCAGCAAAGAGCGAGTAACCATTTTAGCATGTAGCAATTCCACGTCAAACCATAAGATGGAACTCACAATGATTGGAAAGGCAAAGAACCCCAGAGCATTTAAGGGAATTTCAAGACATGCTCTACCAGTGAAATATTGCAATCAGAAAAGTGCGTGGATAAGCAGTGACATTTTTAAAGATTGGTTCTTCTCGGATTTTGTACCATCAACAGAGAAGTTTCTAAAAGACAATAATTTACCAAGAAAAGCAGTTTTACTGTTAGATAATGCGCCGACTCATCCTGATGAAAGTGAACTAAAAGATGGGGACATAAAGGCCATGTTTCTCCCTCCGAATGTCACAGCTATCTGTCAACCTATGGACCAGGGTGTTTTGGAGACGCTGAAAAGAAAATATCGGAGAATCCTTCTATCGACCATGATAGAAGAAATGAACGATGGCCGAGACTTAATCCCTATATTGAAAGCCATTAACTTGAAAGATGTGTCCTACTGGATCTCAAGTGCATGGGATAAGGTTGGGGCACAAACAATTACTAAGTCCTGGGATAAGCTGTTGTGTGAGGATGAAGGAACTGCTGACAACACTTTGGATGAACTTCAGGAAAATATATTGCCCTTAGTGAAACGTATCCCTGGATGTGAGGATGCGTCTTTGGGTGATGTTGGAGAGTGGTTTTCAAGGGATGAACAATATGAAATAACCGATGAAGAAATTGTTACGGTTGTTAATAGTGAAGGTGTTGAAGACATCGAAGAATTAGAGACTGTTGAGCCACAAAAGTTTCACACAAAGAAGGAGTAAAAATTTTTGAAGCTGCGATAAAATACGTCGAGCAACAAGAGGAAGCCAGAGCTGTCGATATTATGATGCTACAGAGATGGCGAGACTTGGCAGCAACACAACGAGATACATCAGCAAGACAGATGAAAATCACTAGTTTTTTTCGTTCACCCTAAACCATTATGTCTACAATATCCAATGTAAGTCAATGTTGAACTGATTCTAGTTTTATTTTAATCTTGTTAATATTATTATATACATAAAGTATACAGTACATAATTACACTTTTATTGCACTTAAATAAAGTCCATTACAATGTTATTACAATAGCCCCAAACTTGTGTTTCATTTTCTACCCTCCCTATTATCCGCCATTCCAGCTTATCCGCCCTTCCGTCGGCCCGTTTATGGCGGATAACCGAGACTCTACTGTATATATATATATATATATATATATATATATATATATATATAGAAATTAATAACATATTAATGATTTGTCAGAGATTGATCTGAACATAAATTTCACATTTTAAATATAACTTCTTTCCTAAAACTGTAAACTGCCATCGTTTGGATATTCACTATTCATACAGAGAAATACATACGTAGATATACATAGATTAGATTTTTGTTACCTGTATTTTAGGTCGAATGTATATTTAAATTATATTAAACAAATTCCTTCTGTAAATAATGTACACTATACGTCTCTGCTTTGAAACTGGTTTAGAACCTCTGACATTTTACGTGCTGTGTAATCATTAAGAAATAAAGAATAATTATATATTAGATTCCAAGCGTATTTATAAATGCGAAATATTACTGAATAATTTTAAATAAAAACATTAATAAAAATTAAACGTCAAGAGTCTCATTTCTACCCTCTACGCGATTTTTTGTGTTAACGAACCGCCACTTAATATTAAATATCTCTAACCACATACCTGGTCGGCTGTAGTGAGCAGTTTCTCCGTACGCGGGACTGCCTGGCTCGCCTTTGGGGCCGGTTATAGACAATCCTGGCATCCCCGAAGGACCCGGAGGACCAGGCGGCCCTGGAGGTCCGGGCACTGGAATGTACCTTGTCGTTTCGTCTGATGATCGGGGTCCCGGTGGGCCCGGAGGGCCCGGCGTGCCATCTTTACCTGCCGGACCCAGGTCACCTCTATCACCCTTGTCGCCCTTATGCTGTAAAAATATCAAACGGTTTAATTTAATAACTCGGCATCGTGTGTATACAGAGTGACAAGAAATGTGTAGAGAGGTAAAAATAAAATAGTATGTCCTATGCAAATAATTATTCTTTAAAAGGATAATAATTTTGTTCTACTGCTATTTTCATTAAGGTACATTAGGTATTTTTCTTCAACATTGTCATTTATTTTATTGAAATATTCTCATCACATCTCCTTCTATGCCGATTGGTGCCATATCTCTAGTTGTTTTAACTCTATTATTTTTTGTTTACTCTATTAATTTATCTGTTGCATTTTTTTCTTTCTTGTACTCACCCATTTATGTTGTCCATCCTGCACGTCTTTTTCTTTTTTTTTTCGTATGTCGTTAGTTCTTTATCTTATCATCAGTATTTGACCAGTTAAATATCTTAGGATTTTCATTTCCCTTGGTTTCAGGTATCTTCACGTTGTGTTAGTTTCTGATCTCGTTTCAGCGATGTATATCATGACAGGACTTACTACAAATTTATATATGCCTTTTCGTTTATAAGTTCTGATACTTGTTTCATCATCATCACCATCATCACCTTCATCATCCAGCCTTCATTTATCACGTCCACTGCTGGACATGGGCCTCCCTTAAACTCCTCCGTTCTTCACAATTTTGTGCGCTTTGTTGCCAATTTTTGGTGATACGCGATGTGTCTGTTTTTTGCCTCCAATTTATAATTTTGTTGGTCCATCGTGAGTAGTGCATTTTCACTACATGACCTGTCCATTTTAATTTCAATTATGCTATGCGTTCCACAACATCAGCAATACTCATTATTCTTCGCAGATCTTCTGAGTGTCTTATTCGGCCCCGCAATATCACACCTAGCATATACCGTTCAATTTCTCTCTGTACCACTCTCAATTTCGAAACTGTAGTCTTGGTTAGAGTCATAGTTTCCACCCCATAGGTCATGATCGGTAAAACGCATTGGTCAAATATTTTTCTTTTGAGGCTAATTGGCACGTCGGCCCTAAGTGAGTCCCGCAATTTTCCAAAGGCGCCCAGGCTAAAGTAAATCGTCTTTGGATTTTGCATGTTTAGTTATCCCTGCTAATTCCTATTTTATTACTCAAATACGTCTATTTCTCCACCAGTTCAACCACTTTGACTTGGATAGAAGAATGGTTATTGGGGACTATATTTATCATAAACTTAGTTTTGGTAAAGTTCATTCTGAGGCCCACTTTCTGTGATAAGGACAATATCATCTACGAAACGGAGATGGTTCTCCTCTCTGGTCCCAATTGACCATCTTAAAGGCATACTCCAATACCGTTATGAATAATTTCAGTGAAAATGTATCTCCTTGCCTTATCCCAGGTTTTATTTATATTGGTCGGGTTTTATCGTGTATCTCAACAGTCATAGTGGCATTTTTGTAAATATATCAAATAAGTTTACTATACCTATGGTCAATTTTGCAGTCATCCATTGCTTCTTTAAGGCTATTTCGATCAAGCCGAACGCTTTATAAAGATCTATGAAAGTGAGAACAAGATGTTTGTTAGATTCTATAGATTTTTCAATAAGTGTCTTTACTTTATGGATGTGATCATTGGTACCATAATTTAAACATAATCCTGCCTGCTCTATCGGTTGGTAGAAATCTAATTTTTTCTCCAATCCCGATGTCAGTAACCAAGGGAAAAGTTTGTATGTGGTTCAACAGGTTAATATTTCTATAATTTTGTAGGCCCGTTTTATCTATTTAAGTTTATACTTATTTATCTTCTCTTGTTTCGCTTTCCGTTATTTCGTTAATTTGTTTGGTGTTATTTTTAGTTGTTCAGAAGTTATGTTAGTTTCTATTGTTTGTTTCAGTTGTTTGATGTATGTTATCTTTTTATTTTCGTTCTTTAATCGTTTATGAATCTCTCACTTATTTTTATAAAAAACTTTGTCCACTACTCCTCTTTTTTTCTCTTTTTTTCAAGTGTATGATTCTCATTACGAACTCTTTTGTAAATTTCATACGGTTCTTATATTCTTTTCAATGTATATTCCAAGTCTTTTTTGGCATTTTACTTTATTTTGTTAAAGAGTCATAATGTGCGCTTTTTCTTCTTTAAAAATTTCATTTATTTTTTGTTCTTCAAGAAAAGATTCTCATTTTTTTGTTTTGATTTTACGTTGTTTGTAATGCGCTTATTTTTTTCTTGATATCTTGACAGTGATATCAATAAGACAAAGTTCTATCCATACGTACGCCGAGGTATTTTGGCGTCTCATTGTGTTCCAGCATCTGATCACGTCATTCCACCTCGAGTGGTGTCCTTCGGGCATAATTGTTTCAAAGGTGGAAACACATAATCCGCCCATTACTTTCTCGGTCTTCCAATAGATCCATTGTTTTATTCCATTTTAAATACATGGCCTGTTGTTTTCATTCATAGGGCCTAGTATTCGTCTCAGTATCTTTCTGTTAAAGATATCCATGCGGTTTACAGATTTTAAGTCCATATATAAGTATAACATTCATAGCTCACTATCGGTCGGATTATGGTCTTATAGATTCGTATCTTAGTTCTTTGATGTGCGTCGCGCCGTTTAAACATCCGGTTGATAGCTAAGTATGCCGTATTGGCTAAAGTGTTTTGTCTACTAAGTTCTATATTGTTAATGTTGTTATTCAACTAACAATTAGGGCCGTGTTGCTCTCTCCAATCGAGTTTGTATATATTTATTTAGCATGATTTTTAGGTTACGTATACATAGTATCACCTGTTGCTTTGGTTCTGCTCATGATATTAACGTTATCTGCATATGCTGCCAGTTAGACTGATTTATTAATAAGTGTTTTGTTTCTATCTTTTAATGTTTTTCTAAGTACGTATTACAGTACTAGATTATATACCCAAAATATAGCAAGGAGATTTATCTAAACTTCAATGAGAGAGATTTGTCCGCACTAAGTTTCTTTGTTGTTTCTTGTTATTTTGCCATTGTGTGCCGATTAGTTTTTGGTTTATACCCTTATTTCACTTGTAATACGCACTTTGCGTTTTGTCTTCTCTAAAGTTTATTTCCATATCCATGCATTTTTTGTTTATGATTTTTTGTCTACACAGTTTATCAGCTATTCGTTTTTTTAAATACCTTTTTTTCTCTGGTTCGTTTAGACAAATATATTCTATGTTTTTCATTTCATTCTTCAGTTGCCACCTTACACTTATTATTAAACAATTGCTCATCTTTCCTTTCTTTAGTTTCTAGAATTTTGCTGCAGTTAACGTGGTTCTATATTCTTTCATATTCAGTCATCCGCTTTATTATTTCTTCATCATTTTTTTTTATTTTTAGGAATTTTTAGTTTTTCTAGATCTATAATGTGTTTTCTTGCTTTTCTTTCTTTTCCCGTCTGCTTATTCAATATCTACATAGAAGGGTTGTTACACACAAACATATTGTCCAAACTAATAAATTAAACACTATAGCCTTAGCCAAGCATTCTTTAGAAACTAGCCATTCCTTTTATTTTAAAAATGTACAGATTTAAAAAAAACCAAATTATATATTTCCATACAAATAATATTTCCATATTAAAATATTTCTACCAAAATTTGTTTTAGGGATGCAATCGCACGAATTGTTGATTAACCACTTCTGAAACCAGCCTGGTATTTTCCTACTCTCCGTTATGCATATGGTGCCATACGGTATGATGCTTCAAGGATCGTTGGTGGATCGGACACCACGTGTCACATTTAGTGCTGCTACTAAGTTTATTAGTAGCAATCCATTATTTCTACTGATGTCGTGTAGGCTGTATAGGCATGAAAACTCCTTCTCGTTCTATCCTTGCATTCAAGTCACCTAAGTGAGAGCGCCCACCAAAGTGGCGTGGCACGTAGCAAGTGGCAAGTAGCACGCGTCTAGCATGTTTCTTAAAATGTAACCAATGAAAACGAATGATTCAGCGTACACCAAAATGACAGGGACGTCATTCATTCTACTCATTTGTTTTTATTGGTTACATTTTAAGAAACATGCTAGACGCGTGCTACTTGCTACGTGCTACTTGCCACGCCACTTTCGTGGGCGCTCGCAGTAATACAACCTTAATGTCATTTGTGAAACATCTTCTGTAGGTTTGCTCTAAACCTTTGAAGAACTGTTTTTTATTTTCTCTGGTTTGTCATTAATTAGGGCATGTTCATTAATCAAACAGTAACAACTGCAGCTTGTACATGTACATGCGGTACAATCAAACGTACATAGATAACCAGATAGTGTAATAATATTAAGCAAAATGTCATTTTGGGGACCAGTAATAAAAGTGTAGAAAATGGAGGTAACAGTGGAAAGAAATATAGATAAAAAAATGTAAAGAAAGAAGAAATCATGGTTCTGAAACATTTGTGAATGAATAACAAAAGGCGGGAATAATTTAATTCATCAAACTTATCACAGATAAATTTTGTCGTGGTAATCACCGACAACAAAACAGCAAGTATTTATAAAGTGAATAATAATTTGATATACTTACTCCTCCTGAATCGCCCTTCATTCCTTTCGTTCCAGGAACTCCCGGTATTCCAGGCCTTCCCTGCAAATTTTAATTTAATATAAAAGTACATCCAAGCTTACATTTGTGTGTTAAACAATTACAAACTAAATTTAGTTTTTATTGCACTTTTCTATTATATTCTTTTAGAAAAAAACTCGATTAAACGAAACCTTTGTTTGATATGCGGAAACACTTAAGTTATTAACATTCTTTGTTCTTCTACTGACTAATGTCCGCTGTTAATTTTAAAAAGCATATAGTCAGGTGAATAAGGACAAGCAATACAAGCATTTATTTTTATTTTTAAGAGGTAAAGAAATCATTAAGGAAATTAAAAAATAGAAAATCACCAGGAGAGGACAAATACCGAACGACATCCGAAAGTATAAAGGACCATATTTGGCCACATAACTATTAAATCTAATCCAAAAAATAATAGAACAAAAGAGAATTCCTTAAGAATGAAGATCAAGTATCCTAATACCTCTCTTCAAAACGGGAGACAAATCGGGCCCCGAAAATAACTGAGGAATTGATTTATTAAACAAAACACTAAAATTAACAACCAAAATGATAACAAATAAACTGAATGAATTTGTAACACTAGCAGAAGAACTACAAGGTTTTAGGTCAGGAAGATTATTCACCGACGCTATATTTATAATGAGGCAAGTGCAAGAGAAGTCATTAGAATGCAACAAATCGGCGTATCTATGTTTCGTGGACCCTACGAAGGCATTTGACCGGGTCAAATTATCCACTTACTGTACGCAAGAGAGATACCTCTAGGAATAATCAAAGCGATCGAAAATATCTACCAAAAAAGTAGGAACTAAAAAGGATACCAAACACTAGCATAAAAACGACAAGGTTTTCGGTCCGGAATATTCTGCACCGACGATATATTTATAATAAGACAACTGCAAGAAAAATCATTAGAACACAACAAACCAGATCTATGTTTCGTTGATTTTAAAAAAGCATTTGTCAAAGTAAAGGGCATTACCCACTTATTGTACGCAAGAGAGATACCTCTAGGAATACTCAAAACTATCAAAAATATCGATCAAAAAACACAATAAAAGTAAAAGTAGAAGAAGAACTAACTGACCCTATTGAAGCTGCCAATCGGATAAAAAAAAGAGATTCCCTGAGTCCTCCATCATTCAGTCTTATTATGGATGAAATAATAAAAAAAAGTAAGAACTAAAAAAGGATACCATGTGAAAAAAAAAAACTTAAAAAATAATCTGCTATGCAGACGACACAGTACTACTCTGGCAAAGTCAAAATGATTTACATCTAATTTAATATAACCATATAAGTGTTGATTTTTTTGTTATGTTGGTACACTCTTCATATGAAAGTATGTAAAAATATCATTTTCAGATACTTTCATATGAAGAGTGTACCAACATAACAAACAAAAGTCGGTCAAAAGGAACGCCCTATCTTATCGAATCGCAAAACTTATTGAAAAACCTATTATTATTGGTCAGTTTTTATAGTAGGAATCCTGGCCTCTACAGAAAAATGTAAATAGTGTGGGATAATACTGCACTTTGGTTACATTTGAGGTGTTGCCTAAATCATGTAGAATATGCTGTTGACACAAAAAGGCATTCAGGTATCAAATGTCCGAAAACCTTTTCAGTCCATAATACTAAAAATACCTTCTCCAAAGTAATATAACTTCTGAGCTAACAAAAACATAAATGTTTGGGTTATCGATGTCTACAAAACACAAATAATTGTTAGATGCCTGACCAGGTAAAGTCACGGCAATACATTAGTTTGGTTGAGTTTACCGAAAGTACAAGCTGATTATAGCCGCAAATGTCTAACATAAAACAAAAAATTTCGGTTTAGCAGTGTAGGCATGTTTTAATAATGTATATTACGCTGTATGTTCCAAATATAAACAGATAAAGCTTTAGAAAAGTACATTTTGATAATATTATGTTCCGAATTCTGCAACTTTTGATATATATAAAACTAAAATGAGTAATAATTTGTTTCTTTGGAAATTAATTTATTAGATAATAATTAGAAATTGTATTGGCAATTGCCCTTTGATAGGTTAGGGGAAAGATTTGGCAATCGTAAATCAGCAATTGCAACAGATGTTTGCAATAAATCTCGATAGAGACAAATATTTACTCGGTATTATTTCATGTAAATTAAAAATTGCAGAATTAATAAAATAGTACAAATATACAGTCTGTCCCAAACCCTTCTTTCAGCGCGTCACTAATTTTGACGTCATATAGGATTTAAGAATGTCGAGAATTATTGCATGAGATTTTAGTTAAATCTGAAAGTTGCAGGATTGTAATCGGCTAAATGTGAAAAGGTTATTTTTTTTAATATGTAGTAAAAACTTTAACAATTCTAATTTGTATTTAATTTACATATTAGAGAAGTCCCGTCCTGTATAAAATTTTTTATTGCGCATTATGCTGGAACGGCAGTTTGTCATAATTCCTATTCTATACATTCCAAAGAAAGTGTTTAATTAGCTAAGATTTGTTTATGGATTTATTATTATTCATTACAAACACTATGGAATTGGAATGTTTGTTTGTTTAAAATACCGCTTCCTCCTAGAATCTTTTAAGAGTTGACTGCGAGATAAAAAAAATTACTGGCAATTGCAAATCCTCAAAGCAAACATTCCTGTGATAAAATAATATCGAAATCAGTCATATCTGGATAAGTAATTTTCCGATAAGTTTCTGTGGCAGAAAATAGTTTAATTTTGTGAAGATTTATCATTAAATAGTGGAAATAGTTTAAATAGTAAAGCAGTTGATTTTTGAGTTAATCTACCAGTTCCGGTACCCAGATGAAATAGTGTTAATGGAGTTTAGTTAAAAAACAAGATGTAAATGTAGATTATATGTAGATGTAGTGTAAATTTACCTTCTTTTTTATGAATAACAAAAATGAATATTATATTTCAAACAATCCACAATCTGATTCAGAATCTGATTCATTAAAATCAATGTGGAGGGTGCCGGTTTACAACATCCCTTCCATGGAGAGGCTTGTATGCAACAGTGTCTCTTTCAGCGGCTTTGTTCTTGCTGCAAGTCCAATTAGTCCGCTAGCCTTCGACAGCTCAGTAGAGAAACTAAAATGGACTTTCAAAGTTGCTTTTATCTGGCCTGTTGAATTAATATAGTGAAATAAAACAATTACTTGTTTAGAAAGAAACTGTAATTGAAAAAAGAAAGGGCAAGAAATAGAGCTTATAAAATTTGAGTGTGTAACTTATCGTAGGAACTTAATTTGAATATTACAATTTGCGAACGAAAGCGAAAACACCATAACACTTATTCACATATTACGGCTTCCCGGTCAATTGCGTAAACTGCAACTAGGAGAATCCTCTCCGAACTTTTGAATTATAGATGTTAGCCCTACGAAAGTCGCTAAATCACTAGCCCCGCTGGAATATTTTTTTGTTTCTGCATTTTGAAAAGCCGGTCTATCGTCAAGTAGGCGCTGTGGGCGGGGATTAACATTCTCAGAAGAAAGTCTAGGTAGACTGGATTTATTTAGGTACCCGGCGCGAAAATATTTATTTGATACGAAATAGAATTTTTTTTTTTTTATATATAATTATTTGGCTGGAGATATAGTTCTCCAACACAATGATTACAGTAGATATGTGGCTGGTATCAATTATATCTTACATTTCAAGAAAATATCGTGGTTGTAAAAAGAACCGTTCTAATAAATATAAATATCCATAACGGTATTATAGTTTAAGATATTTCCTCAATTTCATTCCTGAATTCACAATCTAATTCGCGAACGAGAGAAACTGGTAATAACGTTGTTTCAGCCGCTTTTTCTAATTGCAAATAATTTAATAATTTTAATATTAGGTTTTGTTCATTCTCGGTATATCTCGGAATATTTAAAATTTTTATGAGAATAAATATAAAATTTAATTTTTACTGTAGGTAAAACGTCTGAAAAATACTAATTTGGAATGACAATTATCATTTTATTAGTTGACATTGTGAAAGTACTGACATTTGTCACTATCGAGACCATCTTCGTCAAATTATATTTATGTGCATCATTGCATATGATTGGATATTTATTTAACGTATTCTAAACTCCAACCAATTATACCTACCTACATTCGTAAGTAGAATTTGCTTTAATATCTGAATACCCGTAAACGATATCTGATTTTTTAAGTTTTGTGTGTAATAATCACAGACTCAAATTTTTTTCTGTCACTTCTAGCCTAATGCGTTAGAGAGAATTCGAACAACTATGACGCACTGAAGAAAGGGTTCGTGATGGACCATATAATCAAAATTTACTTTTTAAAAGCTTGCTCTTTATATTTGAAGTATACAACATATGCATTATAAAAACATTCCAACACTGCCAAACCGAAATATTTTATTTCATGGTTGACATTTGAAGGCTATATTCAGTTTGTACTTTCGGTAAACTCAAACCTTACTTCTTTGGACCAGCAACAAAATCGTGGGAAGAAAAAGTAGCATATAGTTAATATTAGCAATGGTAGGCTTTTTATACACTTTTTGGAAATAATCGTGTGCGAAAAAGTGAATATTTATATCAGAAAAAAATCTGCTTTAAAACCTTACACTACCGACTTGTTACCAAGTGAGTTTCTGTCAACACATTAACAAATAAAACATTCATTAATAAAGATACTATTTAGTATTTGTAAAGGAAAACTTACTTTTGAATTATTTTGCTGTCCAGCCCGCACAAGAGATACGTATATAATATTAGTATTCAACATAATGCAAAATAGGAAAAATTAAGAACTAAAATGAACAGTATAATGCGCTAAAATATCATGTTAATATTTCTTTTTTCACTTAACATAATGAAAGACGTTCAACTTTGTGTGTTGCGGCTATCTTCACTTTTCATTAAAAATATAACTTACTAACCATAAGTTTATATATTATTAAAGTTATGATGACTTCGGCTTTGTTATTAAAGCTGTATTTGCAGCTGGTGCATTCTGGAAGTGTATTTGGTTGAACAAGAGAGTTCATGAATACGTTTATTCCAAAAGTTAGAGGTAAATTGTGGTGTTAAATTTAGTTCTGTGCATTTGGGGTATCATAATATACAGAGTGTCCACAAACGCTCATAATGGAAGATATCTGCATTAGATTAATTACTATTTATAACTGGGAATAAGCCACAATTAAAGATAAAAATACGTTTATTGACGTTTCAATTTCCAATTCGGAAATCGTTCTCAAAATACAAACAGTAAATTAAACAAATTTTGTTTTTTGTTACATAGTGAAAAAATTCTTCTAATAATTTAATTTTATCTGACTCATTTATATTGACAATTCAGACATACATTATGCATTTTAAAGTAGACGACTTTAAAATGATATTGCCAATATAGCCAAAATTACTTGCTCTAACAAAAATTCGTTCTTGGAGGAGAAACATTTGTTAACATCTGTTTTATTAAAAAATGATTATCCTTTATCGTTTATAAATAAGGAATTTTCAACAATCGATCGAATAGAACAGAACAACTTAGAACGAGATCCTACAGCATACACAAGGAATAATATGAGGATAATAACAATACCGTACATAAAAGGATTATCAGAAAAACTTAAAAGGATAGGAAATAAATTCAACATTTCAACAACATTCAAAACAACAAACACGTTGAGATCTATTTTGTCCAAAACCAAACCTAACAATGAACAAGAAAGGACAAAGAATTGCATTTATAAAATACCTTGTGAATGCGATCAGTTTTATTTAGGTGAATCATCAAGGCCATTAAATGTTAGAATAAGTGAACATCAATCTTATATTAAAAATAGAGAATTTGATAGATCTCAAATATGTAAACACGCATAGGATAATGAACATAGGGTTCAATGGAATAATTCAAATATAGTCCTAAAAGAAACGGATGGTAAAAAAAGAAAAATCAAAGAAGCGGCTCTAATTATGCTAAATGAGGCTAATTGTGTTGCAAATTCCTTGGCAGAATGTAGTAGGATCTGGTTACCAATATTGAAAGAGGAAGTTATTAATAAGAAAATACCAGTATTAGTAAGTCAGTAACATATAGAGGATAAATCATTTATATTTTTTAAATAACAACATATAAAATCAGAATTTTGATGTTTGTTGAAGGTAAACTAAATTCACGAACAAATACTTACAATGTCGGGATAGTATTATGAGGTTTTTTTCCTGGTTTTTCCCTCATAATTTACTATGGAATCACTGACAGGAGAATTTTACTGTCATCATGTCATGTGTTTGTCTTTTTAAAGACGAATTACATGCTATGATTTTTTCTGACGGATATTCTCAAGTTAAAGTTGATTTCATTTCATGTAATCGAATGAACTATCTTATAACGTTGATTGAATAATCCAATTATAAGTAAAGTCGTCCCAGGAGCGCAACTCAACAATATTGGCAATATCATTTTAAAGTCGTCTACTTTAAAATGCATAATGTATGTCTGAATTGTCAATATAAATGAGTCAGATAAAATTAAATTATTAGAAGAATTTTTTCACTATGTAACAAAAAACAAAATTTGTTTAATTTACTGTTTGTATTTTGAGAACGATTTCCGAATTGGAAATTGAAACGTCAATAAACGTATTTTTATCTTTAATTGTGGCTTATTCCCAGTTATAAATAGTAATTAATTTACAATGCCACAAGAAAATAGCTTCAGAACAATATCTACATTAGAATTATTATTTCTTAATTACAGAGTGAAGACTAATCTAAATGGATGTAGGTAAATTGTAATATAAAAATGTATTAAATGATTAAGGAAAAAATGTACATAACATGAACTGATTAAAAAGAAAACACGTTTGTGAAGATTATGATAGGTGATTAATAACAAAAAGCCTCTGTTTTATTTAAAATATGGGATGCGTCTTCAAGCTAAACGACATTCGAAGAAAAAGATGGCCCATACGAAATTATAGTTATATGCATCTAAATTTAACATACCATCCATCCTGGCAGTCCAATTTCTCCAAGTTTTCCAGGTGGTCCTGGTGGACCAACTGGACCAGGTTTCCCTCGTCTTCCTCTCTTACCCATATCACCTTTCTGACCCTGAAAATAATAAATATGATGTAAATGTGTATATAAAGTTAGAGTACCTTATAAAATGGTATATTTTTTGTATGATATGTATAGTATATTTCAGAGTTACTGACTTTTAGTAGGTACAGTAGGTACAGTAACGTGGACCATGGGTTATCAAGTGTCTAGCGATAATTCAAAACAGTCGCAAATTCGTAAAATATACTTTATAATATCTACTGTATATTCTTTATGTGCTTCTAAACTTACTTCTAAAAATTAAACTTTAAAGCATATTTAAGATTTGCCAACAGCAAATCAGTCAGTATTAGAGAACATGCTTTGATCTCTTTTACAATGAATATATATGATCTACCACATATATTCATACTTCATCGATTACCGTAAGTTATTCGATACCGCTTAGGACAGCAAATTTATGAAATTATGAGGTATTATCGAAATATGATATAAGAATAATATGAATATGCAAGACCAAATACATACGTTTACACTTACTTAGACAGTACAGTCAGATCATCTAAACATCAAAAGTGTAGCATTTTAAAATTCTTTCGTATGTATTGAAATCACCCCGTATATGTTAAAACACCGAAGTATATTTTTTCACTCCTTTTTGCGTTGCCGAGAATTGATAATAAAGTCATTTTAGAGTTTCAGCCGTTCAATATTGCCGCCAAATTTTTTTTTAAATTTCTAATGTTTTGTGTTTTTTTGTTTTCTATCATGGGAAAATGTGTAGTGTAATAGCAGGGTTAAGTTTAATGTGAAGTTAAAATAAGGTTTGGAAGAATCTTTGAACAGTCAAGACACTCTGAGTATCGGCGTTAAAAAACCGGCAAATTTGTTGAAAAAAGTGATTTATACTCAATGTAATGTGTCAGTTCTGATAGGAGTAATCACTGTTTTTGTTTTATGTCATCTCTCACCAAGAGATTTGTATCTAAGAGATTTGCGACGTTTCCAACAAATTTGAAAAATAATCACATGTGTTCCAAATTTTTTAAGAAACCGAGTCTAAAATTTGCGTTCCAGTGAACAGCTTCCAATCTCAGTTTGTCCCTGGTCGTCATTCCAGACTATAGATGCAGTTTTTTGCATTGCAGTGAATCTCCAGTTCCACCCCCAGAATTTTAAAATAAAAATAACATTTAGTGAAATCCAGGTAACTTTTTTTGTTAAACTTTTAAAAGTAAAAATAGACATTTTCTATTAATAATTGCTTTTATAACCGTTTAGGAACTTGTAATTATAAATTTTTCCTAGTTTTAAAATTTAATATTGACATCTGACAGCTAGCTTTATTTTTTTTTGACAATTGGTAAATACCTAATCATAATAAAGATTTTGTTTTTGTTTTTTAAAGAAGGTTAACTTCTATATAGTTTCATTTAAAAAGCTATTTTTCATTTCTAATTTCTTCCGTTACAAATTGTCGCCCATTAACAATTGTAAGTTGTGTAGTATTCCCAACTTCAAGAGTTTGAAAACTGACGGAACATAGTGAGTTTGTTTTTGATATTTTGTATTTTATTGTTAATATTTATATTTGTATAACTGTTTCTGGTGAGACAACACTAAATGTGTAATTTTTTTCCCCAAATTTTGTTTATCCAGGAGATTCATGTAAGTACCGCTTTTGTTTAATTTTTGTAGTTACCCCAATCCACCTCCTTGCCATTCACTTATCTACGACCCAGCTCTCAAACAAACCCTGAGTAGCCGTTCGCCAAAGTTTCGATTTATTTTGCTTGCCCTATCTCTAGCCCCGTAATTTCTGTCCACAATTTCAACCCCCCATAGTAATACCCTATGCGGTACGCAAAATAATCGTTACAAACGTGGAGTTGGACTTTGTATGTGTATTGTCGCTAGTTGCTTCTGTTAAATATAACATATATTCAAATATATATTCAGATATTTAACATAAGATATACAGAAAGCAATGTGGTTTTTATAGATGATCTTGGGGCATTTCAATATATTTGTTTTATTAATAATAAAAAAAATACAACATGCTCAAATTAAAGAGCAAAAGTAAATATGTCATTTATAGAAGTACTTTGATGAGAATTTTCATCACTGCAATTACTTCGTATTTGTGGTTTGATTATTCTCGTTACTGAAAATCGGTTGGTCGTTTTCTGTTAAGTCTTTTGCTTACTGATAAAGATCGATATAGATAATTGATATCTGTCTTTTATTGGCCAGCTAGTTTTTGTAAGTGGCTGCTGCTAAAGAAGTGAAACCATGAAACCACTACCATGAAACTGTATTTTTAATTAAAGTCGCTGTATAATCTTGAAATTGGATTACCTGATACATCCCTATAAATACCGTATTTCCATATTGGTTTGATGATGCATTTGGATATAAAGATCTTGTTTTCCAAGTTGAAGTTTAAACTTCTTGATAATGAGTCAATGCGTCTGTCTGATCTCATCATCAATTTGTCTCTTTTTTGTTTGTATATGAGTCTTTCTTGTAATTTTTGAACCCGGTGTTAGTTCTGTATAGTAAACTTTCTTTTTTGTTGGTAGAATATTACCATATAGACTACGCGAAGAAAAAATCAGCCGTACACAGTTTGATTTCCGGAGTGGGTACGAGAGAGGCTTGTATACAAGTGATATTTCAACGATGTAGAGATATGAATTGCAATATTTATGCATACTTCATTAATTATCATAAAGCATTTGATACTTAAATCTTTTAGAAGCAGTAGAAGATGTTGAAGCCGGTGATACTCGCTGACAGTCATGAAGCCCTCTAGGAGCTAATAAATAGAATCTCAGAAGTGGGTCAGAGATATGGACTTTCACTGAACATTAAGAAAACAAAATGTATGATGATGTCTAAGAAGGAACAGCAAATATTCAGTGTGAGTGGTCAAAAACCAATAGAAAGATAAAAAACATACACCTACCTTGGTACGAACGCCTAGAAATAAAATCTAGGATAGAGAAAGCAAGATCTCCATTTCAAAAAATAGCTAAGCTATTTAAATGCCACGTATTATCAGTATTTATAAACATCAGGCTACTACGATGTTATATCTTTATTATACTGTTGTACGGAGTTAAGTCGTGAACTCTCACGGACGCTACTTCTAAGAAAATTGAGGCTTTCGAAATATGGCTTTATCGTGGAATCCAAAAGATAACCTATACCAACCAAGTTACTAACCAAGAACTTTTATTAAGAATTCAGAAAGGAAAAGAGTTATTAACCACCATAAAAACAGCCAAAATTGAGAACCTCAGTTACATCAGGAGGAACAGCGAAAGATATAGGTTGCAGCAAATAATTCTTCAAGCAAAAGTAGAAGAAAAACGAGAACCAGGAAGGCGAAGAATTTCCTAACTGAAAAATCTACGTATGTAGTTTAACACAACCATAAATTTTTTCAGAGCCGCAGTTTGCAAAATACAGATTGGCACGGATAGGCACTACAAAAAGAAGAATATTAACATGTCTTTTAATACTAGGCCATTTAAAACTTCTTATATTAAAAGTTTATTGATTTGGCTGGAATAACGTTTATTCGCAATTTTGTAAACCATTCTTTCAACTTGTTGAGATGTTGCTGTTGTTTGTTAGTAGCTGGTTGGGGATTGCGACCTTCTGCAAGAACACCAGTATCATCTGCAAATGTGTCGATGATTGTTTCATCCATTGTCGAAATATCTGCGTTAATATAAGATATAAAAATATACCAAGAACACTGCCATGCGGTACACCAGATTTTATTGAATGATGGGTGGATATTTTAAGGTTAAACTTCGTTTGAACAAAGCAACTACTGAAATCTCAGTTGAAGACTAGGCAGTAATTGGTAGGCCCAATTCCCTTTTTTTTAACTTATTAAGTAGTCCATGATGCCATACACGACCGAATGCTTTTTCTACGTCGAAAAATGCTACAAAGCACAGTTTTTTTTCTAGACTCTTTAGTATACTACTTATAAGGACCCGTTGTTATACTAAAAAAATCTCTTTTTGCTTGGCTGGCAACCATTTAAGGAAAGGTGGTCTTCTGGGTTGGGAGTTTGGCGTGAGACTAACGACCTCACCCCCGGAAAAACAAAACTATTACGACAGACTGGCATTGAATATATTAATATGGACACGGTATGTTAACGGATCTAACTCCTCCTTCGGTAAGTACTGGGTGAATTGAGTAGCTCAGTAAATGCCGATGCCGGTCCCAAGCCCGGATAAAGGAGGAGGGTTGAGGCGATGGGCTAGCAACTCGTCCCTTGTCAAAAGATATTAATGCTAAAAATTTCGACCAAAAGCCTCGGAATACAAAGAATGGATCAACACAAAGACGACTAATGCAACGAAAAAGGAAAATGATATTGGCTACATGGAATGTACAAGGACTGAGAACCAAACAAGCAGAAGTATTCAAAGAATTAGCGGAAAGAAAAATAGATATATGTGTTCTCACAGAAACCAAGAAAAAGGGAAAAGGAAATGAAGAGATAGGAGAATATATACATATCTACAGCGGAGTGAGTAAAGATAACAGAGCTAAGAGGGGAGTCTCTATTGCCATTCGAAAAAATCTTAAAAACAACATTAAATCGTGGACTGAAGTAAATGAACAACTACTAATACTGGAAATGAAAAAGAATGGGCACAATATCGTAATTGTCGGAGTATATGCCCCAAACGAAGATGCAAATCCAGAAAGTAAAGACGATTTCTACGACAATATGAATGAAATACTCTCTGAAGTTAAAGAAAACTGTGAAATCTTTATACTAGGAGATTTAAACGGCAGAGTAGGGACAGAAGAAAATAGCAGAGTCGTAGGAAGATATGGAGAACAAATAACCAATGACAACGGAATGCGTCTTAGAGATTTTTGTGAAATAATGTCTCTCAAAATTATGAATGGATTTTTTCAACATAGAGACATCTACAAATTTACATGGATACAACCTGCTAGGAATCTGCGCTCGATAATCGACTTTGTAATCCAACGTCAAACTTCCCAGCTGAAAACAACTGACGTAAGGGTATACCGTGGATCAGAATGTGGATCCGACCATCATTTACTTATGGCCAATGTGATAGTTAACTATCGCAAAAACAGTAACACTCAGGTACAGAATATAGAAAAGGGGCAAAAAGTAACATCTCCTAAATATAATCTAGAAAGCTTAAAAGAAGATTCAACAAAATTTCTTTACAAATTACGACTGGCCACAAAATTACAAAATGTGGATCGAGAAAATATAACAGCGGAAGAATTATACCAACAACTTAAAAAGTACATTCATGAGGCTGCAAGTGAAGCTTTGGGGTATAAAGAGAAACATGAAACAAAAAATCAAGAATGAAGGTCGGAGAATATGCAAACGTTAGTAAACAAGAAGAAAACTGCTTATCAGAAATGGATGTCAACGAGAAAGGAGGAAGATCACAAGGTATATACGAAATTAAATCGAGATGTAAAAAGAGAAGTAGTGAAAAGTAAAAATGAGATGTGGGATCGAAGATGTGCAGAGGTGGATAGGTATATGGGTGGAACAAGAGTTGGGCAAGCGTGGAAGGTGATAAAGTCTCTCCGGAGGGAAGGAAAGAAAAAATCTAACTTAAAATTAATAGATCTGAAACAGTAGAAACATCATTATGAGGTCTTATTGACAGAAGGACAGATTTCGGGCAGGAAGATCGTGCATTAATAATATATTCGTTCTGCAGCAGGTAATCGAAAAACGGAAGGCAAGGAATCTATCTATCCACCTATTGTTTGTAGATTTAGAGAAGGTATATGATACGGTACCTTTGAAAAAACTATTTTATACATTGACGAATTCCAAGATATCGAAATGGAAGAAATATCTGAACATACACAAATAATTGAGATAACAACCGGAGAGTTAAGCGATGCCCTCAAAAGATCGAAAAACGGTAAAGCAGCAGGAGCTGGAGACATCCCAATTGAGTTGGTAAAGTATGGACCAAAAATATTACACGAGATGATGGTTAAACTATTTAATAAATGCTTAAAAGGACAAAATATCCCTGATGATTGGAATGTTGGATACATCAGCTCAATATACAAAAAAGGGGATAAACGCAATTGCTCTAACTATAGAGGAAAGCTGTTACTAGCTCAGTTGGGAGGTTGTACGGTCGAATAATAAAAAAACGAATTGAATCAGAATATGAAGACATAGAGGAACAAAATGGATTTCGGGCAGGAAGATCGTGCATTGATAATATATTCGTTCTGCAGCAGGTAATCGAAAAACGGAAGGCAAGGAATCTATCTACCCACCTATTGTTTGTAGATTTAGAGAAGGCATATGATACGGTACCTTTGAAAAAACTATTTTATACATTGACGAAAGTAGGTCTCAGTAGAGAGTATGTGGATGCTATCGCAAATATATACAAAAATGCAAGAAGTGTCGTTTAAGAAGGAAACTTTATATCTGAATCATTTCCAATAACCAAAGGGCTTAAACAAGGATGTTGTTTGTCTCCGACCCTGTTTAAAATATATATTCAATTATCGCTAGAGCAGTGGAGAAAACAAGTATCCGGAATGGGAATAGACATAGGCGGTGGTGAATGTCTAACAGCTTTATTTTTCGCAGATGATCAGGTAGTCGTAGCGAATGACGAGGAAGACATGGACTACATGTTTAGAAAACTAAAGAAAGAATATGAACAATGGGGCCTCAATATGAATATGGCAAAGACAGAGTATCTTAAAATAGGAGATGGTGAAGAAGATCCAGAGTTAGAAATTAGAAACACAAAAACATGCAATGAATATAAATATCTCGGATCTATAATATCTAAAGAAGGCACTACCAAAAGAGACATCGAAAACAGAACACAGCAGGGAAAAAAAGTGGTAAACAGTCTAAACTCTCTACTTTGGTCTAAAGATATTAGACAAGAAACGAAATTGACAATCTATCGAACCTTGGTAGAGCCTATTATGACTTATGGGGCAGAGGTTTGGCAGATAACGCAGAAGGATAGAAAAAGAATAGAAGTAGTAGAAATGGATTTTCTAAGGAGAGCGTGTGGTATATCCAAAAAAGATCACATCAGGAATGAAGATATTAGAAGGAGGACAAATACTGTATATTCCAGTGTAGATAGAATTGAAACGAGACAACTAGTGTGGTATGGTCACGTGAAACGAATGAATGAAGATAGATGGCCAAAGAAAGCTTTAAATTACATACCACAACAAAGAAGAAGAAGGGGAAGGCCTTCAGTTGCCTGGGAAGAAAATGTACGGCACATAATGAGAGATAGAGCCATCAGAGAAGACGAATGGATGGACAGAAAACGATGGCGGTCGAAATGCGAGAAACGGCAGAGGCTGTAGGAACCTCGCTATATATATATATATATATATATATATATATATATATATATATATATATATATATATATATATATATATATATGTTAACGGATCTACCAAAAAGAAAAATTAATTAATAATAACTACCTCAACATCAACATTCTGGAAAAAGTGAGTTGCTCTAAGAGAACTAAAAGAAGAGCTGGTAAGTGTAATATCGACATAGCGGCTATACATAAAAAAATAAATAAACAGAAAATAGATCATTCAGTCCAGCACATCATGATATACTCTACAGTGTAGGATAGAGAAGAGAATATGGTAAAACAGGATTTGTTATAAAGGAACTAAAATCTCTAGTTATTGGATTCTATTACGCAGATGACAGAATATTTTTGTCATCTGCAGAATGTATACAATTAAATTTTTTCCATTTAACTTCTTCTTCTTTTTAGGTAGGTATGACTCTTTTATTTGAAATGTCATTCCATCATTTTCGTGGTATTCATACTGATCGTCTTCCTATTGGGAAACATTTTCTAACCGTCTTTACTACTCTATTTGTTGTCATTCGGTTTATATGATAGTTCCATTCTATTCTTCTATTTATTATCCAGTCCTTGATGTTCCCCATCTTGCATCTACATCGTATATATCTACTTTTAGCTCTGTCCCATAGTGTTTTATCATCAATTGTTTATCTCTGCTGTTTGTACCAGCCTTTGTGTTCTCTCTGTATCTGGTCGTGTTTCTGCCGCGTATGCCAATTTTGGTCTGATGACTGTTTTGTAAATTCTTCCTTTCATTTCTTCCCCGATAGTTTTATTTCTCCATATTCTTTCATTCAGGCTACTGTGTGCTCTATCAGATATTAATTGTAGTAATAGTAATAGAAATTGAAGTAAAGGGATCATCGTTTTTACCCGTAAAAGAGAAAAGCTCACATGCATAAACTGCACAAACATTTTCTTACTTTAAACAGCTTATAAAGTTTTTATAACAATACTCAGTAATATCCTATCAGGACTCTGTTCCAGGCATGCCTCTGAACGAATATTCTAGACGATTCGTAAAATGCTTACAGTTGTTCCGACGTCACTTTTCGTCACGTCACAATTCTACTGAATTTTAAAAATGTTCCGAAGAATACTCCTCCTTCTGAGTCCTAATTGCTTTTGGGATGTGGTGACACCATCAGGCGTTCACATTTTTTTATGATTTCCCTCCATACTTCTCTGTCCTGGGCTAGTCGTTCTGCTTTATGTAACCATTGGTTAATCAATATTTTTGTTTGATCTACCCAACGGCTTGGAGATCTTCCCCTGGGTCTTTTTCTTTCAACTTTTCCCTCGACTATCAGTTTTTCCATCGTGCCTGTTCTTCCAGTAATGTGTCCAAAATACTGAAAATATCTCTGTTGTATTTGCTTAAGTAATCTATCCTTTACTTTAAGTTGTTCTAATATCGATACGTCAGTGATGATCAATCCGGGATATTCTCAACATGCGGCGGTATACCCACATTTCAAAAGCGTCCAGTTTATTTTTATCCGCTTTCTTTAGGGTCCACGGTTCGGATGCGTATGTGGCTATGAGAAAAATGAGCGCCCTAACCAGCCTTAGAAGCCCTTCCGAATAATAAGGCAGGCTATATATATAAGGGCAATTAGATTTTAGGAATTTAGTCTAATAAATATATTTCTACTGTTAAATAAATAACCCTTTTATTTTTATTATTCATTGTGTTTTAGTATTTTAAGAAATAAATTAAAATAAACATTAGACTATCAATGTGATTTCCGAACTAATCTCTTTACCACTGACGAATATTTATAAATGCCTACAAACAGTAGACTACTAAAGTGTTCTTGTTTTTCCTGTATTATCGGAAACGAAACACGGAAACTTCATGAAAAATACTATAATAATAGCCAGATATATAAACTTTGCAAATTATATTACCAGGAAAAGTAACTAGAAAGGGATGACCTGAAAGACAAAGAATTTCATGGCCATATTTTGTTTAACTGTAGAATTTTGTAAGGCAGCTGAGGATAAATAAAAGTTTACTTACCTTAATCGTCATAATATTTTCAGTTCCATCTGCGCTTATAATCGAACCTGGTGGACCCCTCTCCCCTTTATCTCCCTTCGAACCTGGAGATCCCATTGGCCCTGTCGCTCCATCAATACCTGGATCTCCTTTTTCACCAGGAATACCTTCGGTTCCTGGCATTCCAGATACACCAGGTATTCCAGCTTCTCCAGTGTCACCTTTGTCTCCTTTAAAAAAAAATATTCACGTAATTAAATATTAACAAAATAATTTATTTACAGTACTTTTAAGTTATTGATTCAACTCACCTTTTGGTCCTCTCTCTCCTGCATCTCCTTTAGCACCAGGTAATCCCGGCATAATTTTAATCGCTTCTTCAGCAGTACCACCCGCTATATGTATTCCAGATGGTCCAGGTGGCCCTGCAGGACCAGGATTACCAGTGCTACCCTTCTCACCTTTCTCTCCATGTTTTCCTGGAATACCAGGAATACCATCCATACCAGGAGAACCATCGTCACCTCTTTTACCCTGTACGCCTTTTTCGCCTGGAATGCCCCTATCACCTCGTTCCCCTTTAAGACCTGGATCTCCATGTGCACCCTTTGAACCTGCCGGACCTTTTTCTCCTCTGGGACCTATAGGGCCTTGTTTACCTGGTTCGCCCTTAGGGCCTGGTACCCCTGGTCTTACCATTGAACCCCCTAATACAGTGTCCTAAAATTTAAACATACAAACAATTTAAATGTTTATTCACAACTTTATGTTGTTTATTTGGAAAGTTAAGTTTGATTGATAAGACAAGAGATAAAAGTTTTTATTGGGGGGTAAATATTGTCTTTATTTCTCTTGATTTAAGAATGTTTTGTCGATTTTGTCAGTGACATCTTTGAGGTAAGCGAAAAAGCTATCGTATGATGAGGATCTGAGTCTTTGAGTTGAGATTAAGTTGAAGATTGATGTTTGTGGATGCACCTAATAATGTAATTTTTACGCTAACCGTTTTGAATGAGGGCTTATTTAAAATAAAACATCTCAGCGCGTTTACTTGCATCATCGTAAAGACGTATTGATAGTGACACTAGTGACACAAGGGTATTAATGACTTAATTTGGGAAGTGGATGATAAGGCTTGGTATGCAAGTAATTGGTATGGGTGGGTTTTCGGTGAACAAAGTGATAAAAACCTTGAAATTGGCTTTTCTTTATGATAACGTCGAGGAACGACAGGGATGGACCAGTTTCCATTTTCATCGTGAATTCGATACTAGGATGTAGACCATTTAGATGGGTTTAAAAAGACAATCAAAAAATTTCTGCCGTAAGACCAGATGACGAATGTATAGTCAACATATCGTAGCCTACATGTTTGTTTGAGCATTGATGTGGATAGTGTTCAGGTCTCGAAGTCTTATATAGACTACTACAGATAGCGGACAGTCCATTGAGGTACTATTTATTTGTCTGTAGAATTGATTTTGGAAGATGAAATAAGTGTTGGACATACAATGTTTAATGAGAGATAAGTCGTATTGCTATACACTTTATTTAGTTTTTAAAATTATACTTATTAAGTATAATTATTATTTATTAATAATCATTAAATACAGTTTCATCTATAGGAATGTTTGTAAAAAGTGTGTAAAGATGTTTGTAAAATAAAAGGAATTTTTGACAAAGAAAAAGGTATTTTCATAAGAAGGTTGTACAGTTTTGGCCAATGTTTGTGTAGTGTAATTGTATGCACTGACAATGGGACATAGAAGAATATAAAGTTTGTGAATTTTGGGTAGACCATATATTTGAGGTGCTCTGAAAGACAAGCAATTAAATATTGTTTTATGTGAACAGGAAGATACGTTTTATTGATCATATAGGAAGAGTAGGAATGCCTATTGTTCTCTTTCTAAAATTCCGTCTTTGTCCGTATTATTGTCTTTATTGATTTATTACTCATAACATAGAACCGGAGTCTAAAACAAATTCAAAGAGAGAAGGATAGGGACATGGTTAAGTCATTTCGGTTCCTATTCAAAATTGCAATGGTATATGTTTATTCCATAATTTGCATACGCTTAATTTATATCGTTGTGTTTAATATTACTTCAGTCTCTTCAATTGCTTTATCTAGTAGTATGGACTACACGATTTATTTCTGTTGTAAACTGTTTTTTGTAATTTATTTCTTTATTACCAATTTCGTAAGTATTGTTTTTGTATTGGAATGTATTCGTAAGTATTGTTAAATTTTTTATTAAATCAAGCTTTTTCTCATTTTGGGTACCTAAATGTGACAAATAATGATGCCTATAAAATCCATGTCTTATAAACAGAGAACGATTGAACAACATATGATACGCTGATGATACTGTCATTTTTTTGCAGACATTCTTAAAGACTGCCTCTAGACACTTTTCTCCAGGGTGGCAGAAGTAAGTAGCAGGTTTGGGCTTGATTTTAACATAAAAAGAACCAAATACATGGTTATAAGCAAAAATAGACTACCACCTCGTCAATTATTAGCTAACCAAAAACGAATAAAACAAATCACCAACCTTTGTTATCTGGGTGCAAACTTAAATGAACAGTGGGACCAATCGACGGAAATTAGGATAAAGATCGAGAACGCAAGATCAGCTTTCGTCAAAATGAAAAAAACCTTTAACAGCCACAATATAAAATTGGAAATAAAGTTCGTTTACTAAAATGTATTACGTATTCTCCGTTCTTCTATATGGCGTGGAGTCATGGACCTCAACTAAAGCATCACTAAAGAGACTCGAAGCATTTGAGATGTGGTGCTCTAGACGCATGTTGAGGATTTTCTGGATAGACAGAGTTACCAACGAAGAAGTACTACATAGAATGGGCAAGGAGCGCCAAATTATCGTAACCATATAACGTCACAAACTGGAGTACCTGGGCCATATAATGCGCAATGAACAACGATATGACCTACTTCGGACAATACTTCAAGGTAAAGTGCATGGGAAAAGAGGTCCATGACGAAGAAGAATATCCTGGCTGCATAATCTGCGAAAATGGTTTAACTTAACCACTACTGGACCTTTCAGGGCAGCAGTCAACAAAGTCAGAATAGCCATGTTAGTGTCCAACATCCGTAACGGATAGGCACCATAAGAAGAAGAAGATAAAACCACAGTTACGGCCAGCTTTTGATCTACCTGATCCATATATAGACTACTGTTGGCTTCAAAATGAAAGTTAGCCAATTATTGATCTGGTCTTTAGGATGTTGCATTAATACTGTGCCATGCTAGTAATCCTAGCCAAAACTTTACAAAACTCCGTTTTTAATAATCCTAGTAGCTTTTGGATTAGTATTGCTAAAATTTTATACGTCATATCAAGTATTGCTTTGGGTCTGTAATTTTTGCAGACTATGACATCTTTATTATGTATTGTTCAAATTATGGCATTTTTCCAGCTTCTACGTCTATCATCTTATATAGTGCTTTTCGAAAAAAACTCGAAAAAATGTAAAAAAAACCACCTTTATATCTACTAAATGTTAAATAATCAGTAAGAAAAAAAAGTGACCAAAAAGTTGCTTATGCTTACCTTGAACGGTCCTCTTGGTTTCCAGCTTGGCTGCAAAATAAATAATTTATATTTAAAATTATATTAGCACATAATTTTTCCAAAAGATTATTACTTAATACGTCTCAGCCAATAATTTTTGGAGACCAAAAAACATAGTAACAGAATGAAACCCATTGTAAAAGAAAGAAAATATTAACTAAACAAGAATTAAAGGGAAAAGTAATATAAGAGCGATCACGGTCAGAAAGTGAAAGGGAGGGGAAAAAAGAAATCATCATCATCATCATCCTCTCTCCTGTTGCCGACAAGAATGTAGAGCGCAAAATAATTTTAAATAATTTTAAACTGTTTGTCCTTGTTTTAGTGTAGTGTTATGTACAATTTATGTTCAATTTTATGTTTATTACATTCTGCGTTTGCTGGATAGTCCAAACTTGACGAAATGTCACTGATGATGCTGTAGAAAGCGAAAGTACTTGGGCAAGATTTGATTATTAAAATTGTGCTCAATATTTACCTTTAATTTTTTAAAATAAAAAAAAATAAAGAAGAGATCAAAAAAATGTTTCAAGGCGATAACGCTGTGTATCTTGTTGTGGATCAAGCTGTTGGTTTTGTAAGGCTCGAAATATAATTTGCCAATAATTGGGGCCTATAATTCAAGCCAAAGCCCTCGAAGTTGCGCAATATCTAGCGTCAACTTGACATTACTTTCAGGACAACATGTGACATCTTTAAAAAAAAGTCTGCTATTTTAAAGGATTATGGCCTAAAAGATGTGTTCAATGCAGACGAGACTGGTCTCTACTATCGTGCGTTACCAATAAGAACATAATATGCAATAAAATGAAAATTGTCCTAAAAGAAAAACTGTAAAACAACGAATTACAATATTGTCATGTGCAAATATGGAAGGTGAAAAGGAGGAACTACTTATCATGTTCTAGCTTATCAGGAACTACTAGCAAAAATGTTCGATGTTTTAAGAGGGTACACAAGTTGTCTGTTAAATGCGTAAAAAGACGTCGATGGCAGCAGATATTATGACGAGATGGCTTCCATAAATTTCACACGGAGATGAAAAAACAGAATGGAAAAGAAACATTGTTTCTGGATAATGCTACATCTCACTTCAAGATTGTCCTGGATAATGTTAATCTATTTTTTTGTCATCCAATACTACCTCGCATTGCCAAACCTAAGATAAAGGCATTTACTCGAATTTTAAAATCATTTATATAAGCTATTTTATAAGGATGATTTTAACTTGTGAAGACAGTGAAAATGACAAGAAGCATAATTTTGACTTCGGAACATAAAAATTTTAAAAACCGAACAAAACAAAAAGAAGTGGAAGATATACGAATCAATAGAAATAAAAAGAAAGACCAACGCAATCAATGACAAAAAAGATACACAGATCCAATATAATATATATTACAATCTGATTTAAATAATAATATATAACACCATAAAAAACTCTTAAAGTCATAACATATCTCCACATTACCTTTTTTGAAAACACCAATGATACGCCCATATAAAAATCATTATGCTATCTAAAATAGTTTACTATCACTAATGACAGTAAACCATGAGATATCAGATATCAATTTTTACTTGCCAATTCATTAATGCCAGTGTCCCGTTTTACGTTTTGGTAAGTTTCTTTTATTTTACAATAACCTTTTGTCCCTAATCTTGTGCTTTCGATTGGCAATTTTAATAAATAGTACATAATTTTACATAATGCTTAAACAAATCGAATTCGCTGTTTTTCGTTTTTCTTTTTTGCATTTTCTGAAAAAATTCGTTATAGCATAATTTTTTACACCATTACAAAGTAAAGATTATAACAAATAAATAAGCCCACCGACGAACTTTGATATTAAATCAAAGTAAGGTTAAAAAAGAAAAGTGTTAAATAAAAAGGTGAATTTTGACCAAAAAATTTCACCAAATTTCACGAAAAATTTTTTTTTTAAGAAGATAAAACTGAAAGAACCAAAAACATGGTTATTTAAATTTTCCGCATAAATTTTCAGTTGCTGTGAAAAAAGTGTAAAAACGAAAGTTGTAGCTAGTTTTATCCCTATACTGGTATTTAATTTTTTTCTATTAAACTTATAGTTTGGCCGGAAATCGTGAAAAACCGTTTTTACTGTTAAAAACTCTCCTCTAATAATTTTTCCTTTAATTTTTGGTTAATATTCTTTCTCGTACAATGGATTTCATACCGTTAATAAGTTACCATTTTTTTTACTTTTTACACATTTTAAAGGATTAGGCCCTGGTCTATTAGTACACAGATTGAATTGAAAATTAAAACTATCGGTTAAATTAAATCTCTAACATTTATTACATTCCCGACAAAGCCTGTAATTTAGTGTAATAAAATTACCTGTATTATACACAACTTCTCATTTACCTGTTATCGCCGTAAGCTATATAGTTTACACCGATAGTAAATATTGTTGCACACAAAAACACAAACCTACGAAGTTTTGGTCTCGAGTTACATGTGTTTCATACCAAACAAAATGAGGTTCAAGTGTACTGAAAACAAACACAGCCATTACGAGATAAGATAAATAATTGATAAATAGTGAAAAATTAAAAAAGTTCAACGAAATATTCGTTAAGGTCGAATTTATACAAAGAGAATTAAAAAAATATTCTTTTTATTATAAGTGGGCTTCAGACAATATCATAAAATATAAATTTTCTTTGATTGTCGGTGAATATATTCGATATGAAGAAAAAATATTTTCCCCTGCACTTAACACCATATTTTGTGGGCTATTTAATTGTCCATTTTTCAGTATGCTTCCAGTAAATTGCCGTTTCATCGTTTTCGTGGTCTTTTCAATGATCGCCTTCTTATTGGATAACCGTCTCCCGCCGTCTTTATTCCTCAACTTGTTGTCATTCTGCTTATATGATTGTTCCATTCTACTCTTTAGTTTCTTACCTAGTGCTTGATGATATTGACTTTGCATCTCCATCGTATATCTGTCCTTCTAACTCTCTTCCATAGTCTTACGATAAATTTATCAAAGAATTTTCATCTCTGCTATTTCTATAATTTTTTTTGTTCTTTCGTTGTTCGAACGTGTTTCTGCCGCGTATGTCATTATTTTGTCTGATAACTGTGTTGTAAATTTTGCTGTTTATTTATTTCCTGATATGTCTCCATATTGTTTCAATCAAGTATCACAAGGCTCTGTTTGCTCTACGGACTTCTGCTTCGAACTTTTCTGCTTCGAACTAATCAGTATAAAGCCTAGATATTTAACTTTCACTTGTTTTATAATCTGACACTTGAGCTCTAATTTACATCTTAGTACTTAGATTTTCTGTTATGACCATGCAGTTTGTCCTTATTGGAGAAATTGTCATGTTAAATTTATGACGGCTATATTATATTCGTGCAGTATACGTTGTAAGTTATCTTCATTTTGAGAGATTAGATTGCGTCGTCTCCATTGCGTCAAATTATTTTATGTTGTATTTCTCCCATTTAGTATCCTTTTTTCGTTCTTACTTTTTTATTATTACAACAATGATCAGGTTTAACAATACAGGGCCCAGTGAATCCAGCTGTCATATCCCGTTCTACTTTGGAACAATGTACATCGCCTTTGTCTCATCAGCGCTCCATACACCTGCACTCTTACTACCAGTTTCTCCTCTATCGAAGCGTATTAAAGAAGATGGAAGGCCGACGAAGAGAGCATTGAGTTCTGCTAGAATGTTGATCTAGAGGAACTTGACCGGACCTATCCGTGTTGTCTGGAGGATAATCGTCTTCGAGTTCCATTAAAATATTACTCGGTGTTGCAGTAATGATCTGAGACATACCTTCTTTCCCGTGGTTAAGTGTTGATAAGTAACTTTCCAATCTTCGCCGCACCAACTGTTGATCGGCACGTTCCATCTTTATTCATTTAACTCATCCTTTCGTTCTTCGCTGCGTATGTATTACCACATCATAATTGTCATTTCAATTTTATGGCATGAATTATATTTTATTTTTGTAAGGGTAATAAATAGTGGGCCGCCAAGCCGTACTGCCACCGAGGATTGGTGTTTGATTATTGTTATCTTGAATATAAATTTATTTTGTCATACATTTGTTCTAAATATAGTTTTATTTTAATTAAACCTTAGTGTTACTGAGTCTGCTGTGTAAAAGAGCTACTTGTCACAAATTGACGCTCGAGAAGAAGTAAAGCATCTTAAATTGGCGCCCGAACAAAAAATAGAAATTCCACTTTGTCCAGCAACAACAGACACATACTCAGTAGTAACTGCAACTACAGTTATGTTGTGAATATATCACCTGTCCAAATAGACATTACAGCACGAGAACTGAAAACAAAACTAACACAAATAAAACCCGAATAAGAACCGAATCCGAAAAAGGTTATAAACCGAATGAGACCCATGTATAAGCCACATATCATCATACCATTTAAGTCAACCGAATAGGAACCGCATAGCCACAGACAAGTTAAAATTGCGACAACCGTTTGTCGGGTAGCACAAAAACACTGGTCTGGTTATGCTCTAATAGCATATAATGTTAAATGTCTTAAGTGTAAATCGTCACAAATGCAGCCAACTGGAGAATATGACTATAGAAGAGTCTTGGCATAATCTCCCAGTTGATTTGGTGGAATCACGCATAAAATCTATAGAGGGGAGCATCTTTTTGGCAGTCATCCAAGAACAATTTTACAAAGTAGGCTATCGCCTAATTGACAAAGACCATACCGTTGATGAGATCATGTCGTTGTAGACTCCACGTTACAAAAAAATGCCTGGTACATTTTTTCCTAAAGACAAGTGGGTGTAACGATGTTCATCGCATTTGTCCTGTTTGCGCTACGTACACACGCACTCCCGCCACAAGTTCATTCTTCATCGATGCGGGCTAAACGAGATGGAAGGCCGACGACCATAAAAAACAGCATACGCCACAAGAGAGAATTTAGTTCCGTTAGAGCGTTGATCTAGTGGAAGCTCCACCGGGCTTCGAAGTGTTCACTAGAGATCAATCGTCCGAGGTTCCATCAGAGTGTTAATCTAACAACTCCACTGGCCCTATGGAATTGACTGTATTGATTTTGTAGCAGTTCCGTAGTCAGTCTTGGAGTATTGATCTAAGACATACCTATTATTTCCCGTGGCTAAGTGTTGATTAATCATTTCAGGCTCCTCACCGGATTGTTGATCGGCTCATTTCTGACGCGTCCTTCCATTTTTCAATGCATGTGTATTAACACATCGTACTTGTTTAAATTCTATGACAATAATTTTATTTTATTTTTGGCAGGTATTAAACCTTATCTTTGGTGCACAGCGCACATGCAACCAAGTTGAGAAATGAATGAAAATGCATGATCTAGAACTGGCTGGGGGTAAGACCGAGGCTATAATTCTCATGGGACCAAGGAAAAGGGACGGGAGAACATTTGAATGTGCAAGAAAGATATTGGTTCCAAAGAAATGCGTGAGGTATTTAGGGGTGACTCTGAGTCAAAACGGAAAGTGATGGGAGGACGTAAAAGCGGTGCCTCAAAGAGCTGCGGTGAGATCGGCTGCATTGGGAGGGATCATGCCCAACATTGGAGGGTCCAAAACTGAGAGGAGGAAGGCCCTTCATTCTGTCATGCAATCGATCGTCCTCTGCGTTGCGCCGGTCTAAAGTTCGGCAGTTTTAACAAAGCCGTACAGAAAACAGTTCACCCGAGCAGATAGGAAGAGACTATTGAGGGTGGCGTGTGCGTACAGAACAGTCTCTGCAGAGGCATTAGGCGTTATCACTCGGTGTATTCCAATGTACGTGCTAGTGAAGGAAAGAGGAAAAATATATGAGAGAAGAAATTAAGACATAACAATAGAACGTTTAAAAAAAGAAGAAAAGGAAAGGTTCATAATGGTGCGGCAAAAGGAATGGGATGAGATGAGAAGGGTGGCGCAGTGGGCAAAGTCGTTGATTCCTAACCTGAGAAGATGGATGGATTGCGGGCACTGGCATTTAAATTATTTCCTGACGCAGATGCTCACAGGACATGGTAGCTTCAGGGCATACCTATATAGATTTGGAAAGGCAGAAAATGACAAATTCCTGTATTGTGAAATATTGGATACTGTCACACACACTCTATTGGTATGCGATAGATGGATAGTTGAGAGGAGCCTGCTTGAGAGAGAGCTAGAAGGTAGGATGCGATCAGTCACGGAACTGGTTCAGGAGATGCTTAGGTCGTCAGATCGGTGGATCCCCATGCATCTAAACTCTGGAGTAGGATTTCTTGTCAAAAAGTATCTCACACCATACATTTCTACATATAAAAGCATTTTTAAAAGAGTAGCTTATATTATAATATATCTAGATAATAAAACCAAGATCAAGATTATAAAAGTGTATGCTCCCTTAACAACAGATCAGGAAGAGGTAGTTAAAATATTCTACGAATATTTGATAACAGCGTTCGAAGAAAATTATACAAAGTATATTATCATTATGGGAGATTTCAACGCAAAATTGGGTATAAAAAAAGAAAATACTGAAACTAAAATCGGGATGCATAGTTATGGTAAACGAAATAAAAGATGAGACAAATTATATAACTTCTAAGAACAACTAAATTTATATACCATGAACACATATTTCAAGAAACCAGCAAACCAAAAATGGACGTGGATATCTCCCGATAAAAAGACAAAAAACGAGATCAATTACTTCTTGTGTGGGAACAAAGATATAACTGCTCTCAATCGATTCATAACTGGCAGCAATTATCGCCTTTTACGAGCAACGATTCTTATTAAACAGACGAAAACCAGTAGAAACAAGCCACATAATTATTGTTATCAGATAGATCAAACCAAAATACGACAGAAGAGAGATGAGTACAGAGAAGTCTTAGGAAAAGAATTAGTAGAACATTATCAACAAGAATATTCCGATATTAACACAATTAATAAAGAAATGCAACGAAAGCTCTTGAAAGCAACTGACTGTTGCAAAGAAAACAAAAATAAAGAAGACCGAATAAGTGAAGGAACAAAACGGTTGATGGAAAAGAGACGAACATCTCTAAGCAAAGGAAAGCGCAATACGAATGGTTTCAAAAAATTGAATAAACAAATAAAGAAGGAAGTAAAGCAAGATTTAAGAAAATATAATGAAAACAAGTTAAAAAAATAATAGAAAAGAACCGAGGTCTGAAATGTTTAAGATCAAACTTGGAAAAGCCTATAATAATCTCACTAAAGAATAAAGACGGAAAAGAAATAAGAGAAAAGAACAAAATCCTAATAGTTACTCAAACGTTTTACCGTGATTTATATTCCACACAGATAACACTGCAAAAAAAGATACTAAGAGAAAGATAACGAATGTCCATTCAAAAATACCCACTAACATAGAATCCTTCGAAATAAAACAAGCTGCGGCACAACTAAAAAACAATAAGGCTCCTGGACCATATATAATACTTGTAAAAATGTTGAAGGAGGGGAGTCAAATTATTCTAGAAGAATTAAAAAATCTTTTCAACGAATGTCTTCACAGAGGAGAAGTCCCAGATGATTGGAATGGAAGTTTGACAATACTTCTCTTCAAACAGGGAGATATGGAAGATCTGAAGAAATATAAGCTAATGTCCCTGCTGTCCCAAAGGTACAAACTGTTTATGAGAGTAATAACTAACAGCTTAATGTCGAAGCTCGAAAGCTATCAACCGGTAGAGCAGGCAAGATTCCGAAAGGGTTACAGTATAGTGGATCACCTTCTTACAGTCAGAACCCTAATAGAACAAGTCAATGAATATCACTTGAACTTATACATTGGCTTTGTTGCTTATGAAAAGGCATTCGACTCCATAGAACTTTGAGCAATAGAGAGAGCTATGAACAACTGCAGGATAGACTCCCGATATAGAATGCTCAAACATAATGTTTAAAGAAATAAGAAAGTGCTCAAACATAAGAAAGATATGCTAAAACATAAGAAAGCTACAATGAAAATACAAATAGATGCGAAAACTAAAGCTATACCAATCAACTGAGGAGTTCGCCAGGGAGATGTTATCTAACCAAAGCTATCCACACTTGGACTTGAAGATGTGTTAAAAGACATTAACTGGACAGATAAAGGAATAAATGTTAATGGAAGAAAACTGAGTCATTTAAGATATGTTAATGACATTGTAATATTCGCTACAAGTTTCAAAGAACTACAGACCATGATGACGCAACTATTTCAAGCTTCGGAAAAAGTAGGTCTTAAAATGAACTTGGAAAAAACAAAAATAATGACAAATACACCGAACATTAGAAAAATAACGTCGAACGACATAAATTTGGAAACAGTAAGCGAATACATCTACCTGGGACAGATATTGAAAGTTAACAAAGAAAATCAAACTACCGAAATTACCAGAAGAATAAGGTAAGCGTGGGGAGGATTTGGAAAACTGAGCTGGATCTTGAAAAGCACTAAAATAGAACAATATTTAAAAACCAGAATTTTTTTATTAAATCTAAATCCCTATATTCAAAAAACTAAAATCCCTATATTCACGTATGGCTCACAGACGTGGACACTCACCAAGTCTAACATAGATAAAATAGTAAAAGCACAAGGAGCGATGAAAATATCAATGCTCGAAGTGAGACTTGTAGACAAAAAAAAAACAAATAAATTAGAAACAAAAGGAAAGTATAAGACGCAGGAGAACATGCTGCCAAATTAAAACGGAGCTTCGCAGGACACAATTCCCGACTGAAGGATAAGAGTTGGAACCACAAAATACAACAATGGAGACCATGGGCGGATAATATTAAGAAGATCGGAAGGCACAACTGAAAGCAAGTGGTGCAAAATAAAAGACTCTAGATTGATTTGGAAGAGGCCTTTCTCCAAAGTTAAATTATTTAAGGCTGAAGAATAATGTCGCATTTAATTAAGTGTTTGTGTTGATATTAAACAAAATTCTACTTACATCTACATTTTCAAACTCGACGGGTCCCGGTGGACCTGGCGATCCTGGTGGGCCTGGTAGTCCTGGCGTTCCATCCCTTCCTGGTTCCCCCTTGGCTCCCTGGTACCCTTCCGAACCTTGAGGACCTTTTTCTCCTCGTTCACCTTTGTCACCTGGCGGACCGATAGGGCCTCTATCTCCTGGGGGTCCTGGTAGCCCAGTGGAACCAGGCGGTCCAGCTTTTCCTTCAATCGGTGTATACGGAATGTTGGCTTGGCTTTTAATTGTGCTAATGATTGACGTTAAGTTGCAGGTGCAGACAGCCTTAAATAAAAATTGGTTTATTATTTTAAGAATTTATTTTAGCATAGCTTAAATACTATACATATTAAAACCTATTGCAAAATATGTAAGGAGAACATATATTTAAAGCAAAATATAAAAAATAAGGGCACATCTGAGGGTAGCTTTGAGATTTATTGAAAGCTCTGGAAAGAATATTACAGAATAACTTCAAACTATCCTTAAAATAAAAAAATATTCTGGAGAGGTATAAAGTAGTCTAGAATATTTTAGAGCATTAAAAAGAAAGCTAGTAATATTTTGGGAGCCTCTAGATAATCTCTAGATAACATGAAATGTTTCTCGGCTCGGTTGAATTTTGTCAAAGGATATCTGAAAACTTTAGGCGCACTATATAGGTACATTATATTGAAACCGTATTTAACAATTTTTATATTAGTTAATTGTTTTAATATTCTAGTCACCAAGGGTTTTATCATCATCACCCAGCGCTTTACGTCCACTGCTGGATATAGGCCTCCCTCATTTTTGTCCATTGTGCTCTGTCTTGAGCACTTTCATCCAATTTCTTGACATAACCTCGACCACCACTCAATCGTCCACCGTTGATCACTGATTTGGGCGACGTGTCCGGCCCAGTTTCATTTCAGTGTGGCAATTCGGGAAATTACATCGGTAATTCCTATTCTTCGTCTTAAGTCTTCATTTCTAACTCAGTCACGAAGCGATATACTCAGCATTGATCTTTCCATTTTCCTCTGAGCTATTAGCAGCGTTTTAGAATTTGCAGCTGTCAATGAAATTGGTATATCGCTTTTAAAGATGTCTTTCAGTTTTCCATAGACTGCTCACGCTAGGTTTATTATTCTTCATAGTTCGCATGTTTGGTTGTCTCTTGTGATCTTTATTTCGTATCCAAGATATATCTATTTTTCCACAAGTTCTACTTCGTTGTCTCCAATATTGATATTTCTGCTAGGTTTGTTATGAATTTTGTTTTGGAGATGTTTATTTTAAGACTCACACTGGTATCATCATCATCATCATCATTCCTCAACCTCTTACATCCACTGTTGGATATAGGTCTCCTCCATGTTCTTCCACTGTTCTCTATCTTGCGCCTTCTGTATCCAATTTCCGACTGTTTTTCTCAAGTCGTCCATCCATCTTTTTGCTGGTCTGCCTCGGTGTCTTTTGTCTTCTCTAGGTCTCCATTCTATGAGTCTTTTGGTCCATCTATTATCATTTAAACGTGCTATATGTCCAGCCCATCTCCATTTGGCTTGTGCAATTTTTTCTATGACATCTGTCACTTTAGTCCTCTCTCTCACTATCCTATTTGGTACCATATCTCTTCTAGTTATTCCCAACATTGCTCTTTCCATTTTTCTTTGGGTTACTCTCAATTTATTTGCAGAATGTTTGGTTAAAGTTATTGTTTCGGAACCATTACTGGCAGTATGCATTGGTTGTAAATCTTTTTCTTCAAGCAAATCGGTAGCGTTCCTTTTAGAATATCTCGCATCTTGCCAAATGCTGCCCATCCCAAGCCTATGCGACGCTGGATCTCACAAGTTTGATTGTCTTTTCCTATTCTAATTTTATGCCATATATAGATATAGCTAAAGACCTGATGTACTTCGTTCCCATCTACCTTCATAACTTCACTTCCCATCACTTGGAACTAAATTGGTCAGGTATTTTGTTTTTTGAACATTTATGTTCAGGCCTATTTGTTCTATTGCCTGTTTTAGTTCTTCCATCATTTTGTGAGCTTCATTTAAACTCTCGGCTATAATGACAATATCATCTGCAAAACGCAAGTGGCTTAAATATTCACCATCAATATTTATTTCCCTTTTAGCCCAATTTAGTTGTTTAAAGGCATATTCCAGAGCTGCAGTGAATAGTTGGGGGGAGATGGTGTCGCCCTGTCTAATTCCTCGCTCAATTCTATATTTATCGGAAAATCATGGAGTTTAACAGATGCTGTGGCATACACTAACTGAATGTAGCATGTAGCATTGTACATATCTCCTTGAGGTTGTCCGAGAACAAAACTATGTCGTTCGTGAATTTCAAATTTGTTAATCTTCTACCGTCAATATTAAGGCCTTTCCCTTACCAGTTAAGTTTTTTATAAGCATAAGTACTGCAATAAAAAGTTTAGGTGATAAGGTATCACCTTGTCGGACTCGTTTGCCGATTGGGAAGTGATCCGTGTTTTCATGTAGTTTCACCGACATAGTTGCGTTCTTGTATGTATTGTAAATTAACCTTGTATATCGGTAGTCAAAGCGGCATGCATGTAGTGCTTCCATGATTTTGTCAAATTCTACCGTGTCAAAGGCTTTATGGAAACTTACAAAAGCCAGAACGAGTGGTCAATTGTATTCGATAGTCTTTTCTATTACCGTTTTAATGCTCTGTAGGTGATCATTTGTTCCAAATTCGGTACGAAATCCCGCTTGCTCTATAGGCTGGTAGAAATCAAGTTTTCTCTCAAGACTCTTTGTTACTATTCTTGTAAAAAGTTTGTATAGGTGACTAAGAATACTTATGGGTCTGTAGTTTTTTAATTCATGGGGATTTTCTTTTTTGTACAATAGAATTACCTCAGCATTGTGCCATTTGTCGTGTATATGGTACTTTCCAAAAGGCACATGTTAAAAAGGTTTTTTATTTTCTTAAGTAGGCAACTGCCTCCGATTTTAATTGCATCAGTAACTACACAATCTTCGCCTGGATATTTGTTATTATTAACTTTTCTTAGGGCTAGTTTTATTTGGTCCACAATGATTTCCGGTAGTAGTTCTGATCCTTGGTTGACAATGCCCTTTTTCTTTGTTAATATTTATGGTACATGATCTTCTCTGCTATTTGCTTTATGTTGGCTTGTGTACAGCAATTTGTAGAAGTATTCAACTATTTTAAGGGTTTCCTCTCTGTTGGTTGTAAGACGACCATTTCTATCTTTAATCTTTATTATCTGCCTTGTCCCCCTTTTTAGTCTTTCTCTTAATACTTTCATACTTCTATTGTTCTCAACGGTATGTTTAATTGGAGTTCCTCTCAAAGGGTTTAATTGTACGTAATTGTAGGTAACTGAAGGTAATCTAGTTACAGAATTGGTTAAGGTAATGTATTGGAAAACGGACAACTGTTTTTAAAAATTAAAGTCAAGACTCCAATTCTGTATAAAAGTAATGTTATCTACAAGTTATCTTGTTCAAAGTGTTAGGGCTGTTATGTCAGTCAAACTTCACAATGACTTAAACAGAAAATAACACAACACAAAACTGACTGTACAAAAATGGAAAAATACGTTGATTGACGATTATTTAAAAACTAGGCACCATTTTGACTAAACAAATGTCAGAGTCTTACGACAACAAAATCGTTACAAAAAAGATTGTTTTTGCAAACGTGCCACATCAATTAAAAAAAAGAATCAACAAATTACAAGATAGACACGTGACAGTTAAGCAATATTTATTGTAATATTCTAAATAATTTAAATTACTTTTACTGTAGACAATAAAACATTTTTAGCATCCTTCACATTTTTAACATGTATAAAACTGTTTCTATTATTCGTTTCATATGAAGTTTTTTTTATGTTTGCTTTTTGCGTTTTTAAATAAATTATTATAATTATACACCCCAGTTATATTGTTTGTCAGTACTGTTTTAAACATGGAAATGTTAAAATACGCTTAAATCGACAAGTTCAATAATTTAGAACACAGTTCTTTTTATCACTTTTATTTAAAATTATATTGCAGTTTTTCTTGATAAAGCAAACAAACAATTACCTAGCGAAATATAGAGATTTTAAGAAAAAATGAGTTTTATCTACAAATATACAACAGACCGCATACTTTCAAATTCACTAGAAAATTTGTTTATGAGATATATAAAAGAAATGGCGATTGGATGTGGAAAAGGATAAGTAAGGATGTCCAACATAATTCCAAGAACTCTCAAAGTTCTTCAAATTTTATAAACAGAAAGGAATATATTCTATATATCCGTACCCTGGAGGTAAAGGACACTATCTCCATTTTTATCAAAATTGGGATTATTGCAGTTTTGAATATAAGTTTTCTGGCTCTACACAAAGATAAACAATACTATGTCCAGAGACAATTTTACGACAAGTTACCGGCTTTTTAATAAACACCCAGTCCACTTCCAGTCAGAGGTAAATAACACAATGTGGACGTGGTGTGGTTTACCTCTACTAAATGTGTGCACTGTTATTTACCATCTGGACATAGTGTCCATGTACTCTGATATCTAGTGGAATTCTCATGAACTAAAATAATTGTAACCATTTTATTTAATTCGCAATCGTGTTAGATTGTTAAAAGTTTTACATTACATCATATAATATTCCTAATCAAACAACACCTACAGGTAAGCTATTGTTTAATAACACTGATTTAGTATTTTGCTAACCTCAAATATTTAGTATTGATCTCTTTTGACCGATGGATCTTGACGAAGATGATAATTTATTTGAAAATGATGTTGCGGATATTGATAAAACCTATAAGCCTCTAAGTGGTGGAAGCGCGGAATCAGACGACAATGATGCGAGATGTATAGATAAACCAGCAAAAACATAGGTAAAAGAGAAAGGTATTACTATTCCTACGACTAGTGGGACAATAAAAAAATGTTCGCAAGGACGATTTATTCCTAAGCAATGATGCAGACAATTCCAATTAACATAATGAAATTATCATAAAATGCTCTGAAATATTGAAAGAAATTATCAGAATACGAAAGACAAAAAATCTTCAACTCATACTGGACTGAGACAAACGTTTCAGATGTTAAAAAGCAATTTATCTTCTCAAGTGTCGACATTCAATCTACTCTTTGATCAAGAAAAAGAGACACAAACTCTGCCAAATCTAAAATTAATACACTACACTACAATCTTACGGTAAAGAGTTAGAGATTGAAGGTGTGCAAGGTTATGTTTTTAAACACATTTTGTATATTATCTTATTTAAGTGTAGTAGTGAATATGTTAAAAAAAATTGAGCCAGGAAGTTTAATTAAAGCTTATTAAAGAGGTAAACACATGCTAATCAATAAAACTCGTACAGAAACTATAAAGAGTATACATCAACTTATCAATTCCTTTCCAAAGTACGAGAGTCATTATTCAAGAGAAAGGTGCAAGAAAAATTATCTAAGCACAAAATACTTCAAGTTGTTGTTTAAACCACCCGAAATAGACACTTGCGATACATGCAGTACATTTAAATCTCAATTGACAAGAATCTTACTACAGATGAACTAGCCAGTGTACAGGCTGATCATGATGCTGACCTAATTGAATCTAAAACTCGGTATAACTTAAAACAATTGGACTTTATAATGGCTAGAGAGTTACCATAACACACAGTACTATCCGATGATTTAGGCATTAAATTTTACATTATATGATGTCAGTGATTCTTCTGTACAATGTATATTATGGAACGAATCGAAAGGGGTCCGTGGTGCAAATGAAATTACCTCGTCAATTTTGAAATGGGCTGACAATACAATTCCAGATAGTCAAGTAGAGGACATCACTCTTTGGACTGGTAACTGCTATGAACAAAATAAAAATATAAGTATTATAGTGCTATAAAATATAAGTATTATATGCACACACATATGGAAGCAGACACTGTTCATGCTTTGATCGAGAGAAAAAGAAAGAAAACTCTCCAATTTGGCCATTTTAATACCATGAGACTGACAACAGCTAGTTATTCAAACATCATGTAAATAAACAGTGCACAATATGGAACTTACAGATTTCAAAAACTTCAAAACGTGGTTCGATAATACGCTGTCACCTAATCCTCCTTTTATAAGTAGAAAAAATTAATGTTATTAAAGAGCCTGTTCTACTGTCAACATGTGGTGTTCTACACAAGTCCAACAAGAATACATTGAAAAGGTTTTTTATAATTTAATTTCAATAATCAAAATTTGTATGAGGTGGACTTTATGAGGTATCGAAGATAGCAAGTAACGTTTCCAACCCAATTAAATAAATTCTCAGTGCAATAGTGCAATGACTTAATTGCATTATTGCCCTTGGTTTCGTCGGCTTGTCATGAGTTTTATCAAAATGTAACACAGCAATGTAGCCACAAACAATTACCACCAAGAAGATGATATGGAGCCTCTTTAAGAATTTTGAGACTTGTCGTCTATAATTTTACTTAATATTATTATAGTATTATAATATTTGTCTCTAATAAAATAATAGTATAGGCTGTTTAATGCGTGTGTCTTGTTTATTTTATAAAGACCTTAACATGTAATGCCACAATATTTAAAAAAGTTGTTAGGGGTAAACAACACTATGTCCAACTACACATTTAAAAAAAAATTATAAAATAAACTGTAAACTTTAGTTTCATAAGACTTAATGAAATGAAAAACAATTATATACACAACAATAATAATACAGGGTGAGAGGGGAGGAACGCACCAAACTTTAAGACTGTATAATATACGTAAAAATAAGTAAAAATAACTCATATGTTGCTATTCGATTTTCATTTGTTTTTGAGTTATAGCGATAATAACACAAACTTGTAACTTAACATTAATTTAATGTTACATGTTCTTATAATAAATTTTCAAAAATACCACCATTGACCTGTAAGCATTTTCTGCTTAGTCTATGAACATTCAACGTTGCTCTTCTGATTGCGTCATGGTTTGCTCTAATTGTGGCTGCAACATTTTTAATGCATCGAATTAGTGCATCGCGAGTGTCGACTTTTACCTTGTAAACTTCATTTTTAAACCAGCCCCATAAAAAATAGTCTAATGGTGTTAGGTCTGGAGACCTCGGAGGCCAACTAATAGGACCATTGCGACCAATCCAACGCCTTGGAAATTTTGTATTTAAATGTTGATTGACCTGACGAGCAAAATGTGCAGGAGCTCCATCGTGCTGATAATACATTTGCATTCTGATATTTAGTGGAATGTTCTGTAGGAGTCCTGGCAATTTATTCTGTAAAAAATTCAAGTACTCCTCTCCTGTAAGGCGGTTCTCAAATATGAAAGGGCCAATTAAATAACCGTCGATCACACCACACCACACGTTTACCGAAAATTTGTGCTGAAAACTAGCTACAATTGTTGCATGTGGATTTTCATCTGACCATACATGTGAGTTGCGGCTATTATTAATACCGTCTCTGGTGAATGTTGCTTCATCGGTAAAAAGTATGCGGGATATAACACGACGATTATTATTTATCCATCGACAAAATTGCATACGGCTGGCATAATCTTCTGGTTGTAGGTGCTGTACACGTTGTAGGTGGTATGGATATAAACCTTGCTCGTGAAGTGTGTTAATTACTCTCGTTTGAGGAATGGCTATATGAGTACCGATTCTTCGTGAGCTGATACCTGGATCATCTTCTACTGAATGCAGAATATTTTGTATTTCTTGTAAACTTTGTCAGGGAGCACGTTCCGATATTATTTTATAACTAGGAAGCGTTCCGGTCTCGCATAGTTTGTTGAAAACTCTAATAAATACATTTTTATCTGGAGTTCTCCGATTTGGAAACCGTTGACGATATTCTTCAACAGCAGCTCTACCGTTTCTATTACAAAAGTCATAAACAAACATCATATTTGCATAATCACTATTTGAATAAGTATGTGGCATTTTGCAACAACTTTTTTTATACAAACTGTCAAATAGACATTAAATCACGTTGACACTACACTATTATGACAGTTAACTAATTATTAAACGAATCACAGATACCTGTTACAGCAATGTGATAAGTAGCAGTAAAATTACAACTTTGTGTTATTATCGCTATAACTCGAAAACAAATGAAAATCGAATAACAACATATGAGTTATTTTTACTTATTTTTACGTATATTATACAGTCTTAAAGTTTGGTGCGTTCATCCCCACTCACCCTGTATATTAATGTTGGTTAAATATAAGAAATATTTGAATATTTACTGATTACAATAATTAAAAAAAATGTTAAAACCGCTCTCCTGAAAAAGTAAGACAATGGACATAACCTTTACCTCTGGGGTACGGATATAGAGATATATTTTTTATTCTGCAACGAAATATACAACTAGGAACTAAAAACTCTAGTCAATATTAGGTAAATAAACAAAAAATTAAGGGGACATAATTGTCTTCGCCATGTATACCTTACAGCGTTAGATAATTTCAAATTGCTTTATCTGAAATATCTCCCTAAGCTCAAAACAAAACGAAACATGATGTAAAACATCAGAGGCAATTAAAAAAGACCAATCAACTAAATTAGCCTGAATGTTTTTCGTCCACGCGACGGTCGTTAAGTTAGAAATTCTCATGAAAAAGTTATAAACCATCTTAATCAACTTAAAACTTTAATACTAGACGTTATTTCTACAATTAACGTTTGCTTTTTCCTTAACTTTTCGAAATTGCCCGTCAATGTCGCTTCCTAAGTTCAGGTCGATAAAATGGACAATTTAGTATTATGGTCACAAGGGCATAATATAAAAAGGAAGTTACAGAATTAATTGGAAATATATAATATTATATTGGCAAAACCGATTACTTTACAGTATATCATAAATTTAAAGTATCTGATTAAAATGCCTAAACGTGACTAAACTATACTTTTAAAGTATTGGCGAAAGACCAAAATATGCGCATCTGGTAAAATTTGGCTCCTTCACCAATTTTCATAGATAAATATTTACGAGAAAACTAAAGGCTGATGATAATAAATTAAAAGTGGTTATTCAAACACCAACAAATAATAAAATAATAAAGTCATGTAGATAAATCTTGTTATATGGTATTAGGTATAAATGTTTAAAAAGCAACACAAATTAATAAAATAATAAAATTATGCTCACCTCTGGTGCTGGTGCCCCTGGAAGACCTGAAGGACCAGGTGGTCCAGGAGGACCTCTAATTGACTCTCCCGGTGGTCCCTATAATACAAAAGGCGAGAAAAATAAAAAGAAAAAAAGTATAAAGGCTGGTCCGTCCTATACGTGTCTATCTCTGAAAACGACTTAATATCCAAAGCTTTTTTTCTTCATCGAAATATAAGGGGTCATTAACAGTACAATAAATAATGAGAATAAGTCATATTTTTTTATAGAACTTTCCTATAGTAACTTTATAAACGTTATATGTTATTTTTATTCAAAAATTATTTTAATCTAATTACCTTTGATTTACAATCAACTTATTCAGCTACAACCCTTCCAACCAACATTTATAGCTATCAACAAGTTCTCCTGTGGACTACATAAAGCCATAAGTACTATTTTCACATTTTTGTAAAATTCTAGTCGGGATTTGCTCATTTTTCTTAATTTTAATATTTAATTTAATTTTTAACGTATAATAAATATAGTCCAGTCGTCAGAGAGTTAACCTCTAAAAATCATACGAACAAGCTGAACTTTGCAGAGAATATTAATTTTGGGATCCCAAAAAATATGCAAAAAATTTACCACTTTTACTTCCGGGCTTTTTTCTAAAATCCTTCTCGCAGGGGGGTAAAATTGCAGAAAAATCGATTTACCAAGAATCTGTACACCGTAGAAAAAAATGTTTTAGATAAAAACTGTAGCTGAGATAATTTTAAACAAAATTGTTTTTAAACATTTTTTGTGTGAAATAAACCAGTCTCTTAGAAACAACGCTTGAAGTGACTGTCGATTTTGCATGTAAGTTACGCGCGAAATCAATCAATAAAATTTGTATCAGCTTGAGGATAAAAATTCGATATCTTTTGATTAAAATGTTCTATATACAAAAATCAAGATGCGTTTTAAAGGCAAAGAGTGCAGCTTTTATATACAGTTTTTGTATTTTGCCGAGAATGAACTTATTTGTATTTTTTTTTTTTTCTGAAAAATGGCTTTGGCAGAGCCAATTAGCCAGACTTGTGTTGATTGTTAAAATCGACTGAATTTTAATTATTATAGATTGCAGATTCATAGTCAAAATTTTCTTATCAGTTATCAATGTTATTACTACATATACCTAATATTTTTATAGATACATAAATTTTGTTTTGATATATTTTTATTTTGTTTTTTTTATTCTTTTGTTTTCTAGTTTTTTTTTGTTTTTGTTTTCGTTTTTTTTTTGTTTTTTTTGTTTAATTTTTTTGTTTTTTGTATTTTTTCTTTTTTTTTGTTATTTTTTTGTATTTGTCTTTTGTTTTTGTTCTATTTCTATTTTCTTAGTTCTTTTTTTTTTATTAATTTGTGGTATACGTTTTTTTTTGTTTTTATTTTTTCAAACCATATTAACAGATTATGACTATATACTATTTACAACTTGTATTTACATATTTTAACATGTTTGTAAATGCAATGAAGAATTTCCATATTATTTGAAAATAATAAAATATTAAGGTTTATTGGAAAACAACACTTATAATTTATTAGTTCCTTATAAAGTTCGTTTATATTATTCATTTGTAAATCACATTCTAATATAATATGTGTTAGATCGCCTATTTTGCCGCAAGTACAATTGGGAGTATTTGATAAGCCGATTCCATTCATGTAAGATGGCGTAAGAGCATGATTTGCTCTCAGCCGATTAATGGTCTTTATAAAATGTCGATTAGATTCTGTGTAAAACCATCTTCTTGAGGGTATCCTAGTGTTACAATGATAAAAGTTTAAGCCCGTCTTACATTCTCTGTAATGTAAATGCCAATTATTTTTAAGTTTTTGTCTACTAACGGTGTCAATATCTGTCGCTGGAATTAAATTTTTGTTTACTTTTTCTCCAAGCATATATGCTGATTTAGCTAAATTGTCAACGATCTCATTGCCTTTTATTCCTGAATGGCCCTTGATCCATGTAATTATTACATTTAGTCCTAATTGTATAGTTTCAGAAAGAATTTTTAGAATTTTCAGTTCAATGTGGTTTATATGTTTGGCTGTTTGAATGTTGTTGAATCTGTTGACCACACTTTTACTGTCAGTAAATATAACATAGTTGCTAGACGGCTTCAGTACTACATACTAAAGAGCAAACATTATTGCCATCATTTCTGCTGTGTATATTGAGCATTCACTGGGTAAGCTATACTGGTGATGGTAATTTTTATTTTCGTGGAACATTGCACAGCCCGTTCCATTTGCATCTTTTGACCCATCAGTAAAAATGTACTGATAGTTTGTCCATTTTTCTTTAATAATTATATCAAACATATTTGGGAGTAAATGTGAGTTTAAGTAACATATTTTAACCTTTTTAGAAAATAGTGTTTTTGCCATTTCACCGTAGTAGGGCGGAATTTGGCTTGTATAGAGAATATCGTTATATTTAATCGTACTTAGATAGCTTTCTACCAAAGGTATAGATTTTTTAGTTCTCCAGTATCTATGAGTGAGGTCTAAAACTAATAGCTCATTAAGATCTTGCAGGTATTTGCAATTTTTGGACATAATTCGGACTGTAAATTTGTCGTTAAGGAATTGGCGGCGTAAATGCAATGGAGGTTCCACCGCTTCAATTTCCATTATTTGGACTGGAGTGGATTTTAAGTAACCTAGGCATAATCTCAGGCATTTATTTTTTTGAACTTCAAGTTTGTTTAGATGTGTATTGGTCGCTGATCCAAATAAATGACAGTTATAGTCGAAAATTGGCCTGATCATGTTACGGTAAAACATCAAAGCAGTATTTGGGTCTGCTCCCCAATTTGTTTTACAGAAAGCTCTTAAAATGTTTAATGAGCTTTCTGATTTTTTAACAATTTGATGAATGTGATCTTTCCATAATAATTTTCTGTCTAGATAGGTACCAAGATACTTAATACAGTTTTTTATAGGAAAATTAAATTTTCCCACATTAAGATTGCCTTGTGGAACTCTATGTTTTTGTGAAAAGTAACACACCTCAGTTTTTGTGTCAGAAATTGATAATACTATTTCTTCATAGTACTGATTTACGATTTCTAATGTGGCTTTCAAATTATCCTCACAGGTACTTAGCAATTTTCCTGCTGTATATAAAACAACATCATCAGCATATTGAAGAATTTTTGTATGGTTGGGTATACTAACTTCAAGATCTATGTTGTACAGGATATATAAAATTGAGCTTAAAATACTCCCCTGTGGCAATCCAATATTGGTTAGTCGGGGGTATGAAAATTTCTCATTATTAATTTTTAAAAAAGTTAGTCTGTTAGAATATAAAGATTTTAAAAAGAGGGCAAATGATCTAGGGATTCCAATATACAACATTTTTTGGTAAAGAATGTCTAAATTGACATTATCAAAAGCAGCAGAAATGTCAAGGAACGCAGCTGCTGTAGACTTATTTGACGTAAAATTAAGCTGAATTGAAGTAACTAGAGCTGTAGTTGCATCTTGAGTGGACCTAGACTTGCAAAAACCATATTGGGAACTTGGAAGTATACCATCGTGTTCTAGCCAATGTTCAAATCTATTTTTAATTATTCTCTCAAATGTTTTTAAAATACATGAAGATAAGGAGATAGGTCGGTAAGAACTTGGATCACGTTCTCGTCTGCCAGGTTTTTTAATCGGAATTATCAGGTACTCTTTCCAACTATTCGGTACTGGTGTCTTATTTGTCCAAATATTGTTGAAAATGTGTACTAGTGAATTTTTATATTCTATAGGTAAGTTGTATAACAGTGAGTATGACACATTGTCAATACCTGGAGAAGTATTATTTCTTTGTTCAAGGGCTCGATGCAATTCCCATAAATGAAAATTTTCGTCAAAATTGTGATTTTGTCTGGGTACCGTTTGGATATATTCCTGTTCAGTGTCGTCATTTGGAACCCATGCAGGGGCAATTTTTCTATGGAATTCCTGCAACCATCTATCTTCTGGATCAATGAGTACTTTGTTGGCTTGTTTGCGGTTTTTAAAACAATTAACTTTTCGCCAGACATCTTTTATTGGTGTTCTTGAGTTGAGACTTTCGCAAAATTCAATCCAATTCTTCTTTTTCTTTTGTTTGAAGATTTTCTTTGCAATAGCATCTAGTCGTTTATACTCCATTAGGTTTTGTAGTGTTGGATTCTGTTTATAATTTATAAATGCATGTTTTCTATTTTCAGCTGCTAACTGACAATGATTGTTCCACCATGGTTTCGGAATATGACCGTTGTTTTTTTTTTATTGGAAGAATGTTTTGGGATAGCGACGTTGGCTGCCTGGTTTATATTTGTTATTAATTCTTCGTAGATTAATGGTATTTTCATTGCTTCCAAAGCACTGGTATATATCACCCAATTGGCTCTGCTAAGGTTCCATATTCTATGTTTTCTACTGGAGGTGGCTTTTGCTGCGGAGAAGTTTTGTGATGACAAAATAATTGGGACATGATTGGATCCATAAGGTTCTTGTAGAGTATTCCAACGTAAATGAGAGGCAATATCTCGGGAACAAATGGTTAAGTCTACAGCAGAAGGTTTATTGGAAATAGCAAGAGTGGGGGACCCGTCGTTTAAATATTCTAAATTGCAGTATTCTATAGCATCTAGAAGATCTTTACCTAATCTATCATCAACTTCGCAGCCCCATGCCAAATTGTGTGCGTTAAAATCGCCTCCAATTATAAATGGTTGTGGTATATTTTCTAAAAAACTGATCCATTGCTGAATTAAAACTTTGTTCCTGGGTTCATTATATAGAGAAATTATATGTAAAGGTTTCTTGAAATGTGCAATTTTTATTGAAATACACTTATATGTAAACGAATACGTATTTTGAAAATTTATTTCTTCATATATTATGTTGGATTTCAAAAGAATGGCACAACCGCCATATCCATCAGGGCGATCAGCTCGAACACAATTAAATTTTTTAAAATTATAATATTTTCCCGGTTTGAACCAGGTTTCAGATAATAGAGCTATAGTAATATGGTTCTGATGAAGTAAGTATTCTAAATTCTCTTTATTAGCAACTGC